TATTAAATGTATATTTTATTAATATCTAAATACTAAAAATGATATCTATAATAAAATCAAAATAATTTATCATGTATGCAAACAATTTTAATAAAAAAATTACATTATATAATTTAATTTAATTATTAATGTTAGGTGATTAAAAAAAAACCTTAATAATTGGAACAGTTGGTGTTGTAGCTTTGGCTGCTTGGATATGGTAAGTATTTGAAAAGAAACATATACCTAAACTAACATAAACTGTTAGTGATGAGAAATTAATTAAGTTTATAAAACAATTAAGAGCTTAATCATTTCCACACTTTTTTTTAGTATCAGACATAATCAAATAATAGAAAATTCAATATAAAGAAGCAGAATATTAAGAAATTCTAGTAAGAATTAAATAAGAAGTTGAACTTCTCTTTGAAAAGAAATAAACTATGATTCTATGCAAGTTAGATCTAGAAAAAAAAGAAGTTGAATAAAGTTTATTGGTTACTTAAAATGTAGAAGTCAAGAATTTGTATGATTAATTTTAAAAATTATATGAAGATGCACTTGATGGCATTTAACCAGAAATAAAATTAAATGATTAGACTTTAAGAAAATTTAATTAAGAGAAATTACTTTAAATGATGGGTAATGTATTAGCTGTTTCTGTTGATATTATTTGTTTGGCAACAGAGGAATTAATTAATAGATCAGATTGTCCAGGTGAATTTAAATTGGATTAACCAATTGTTATGAAAGCATTGATAAAAAATGGTTTAATTGATAAAAAATTAGAATTGTTATCTTCATTTAAAATAAATGAATATGAATAAGAGGAATAATGTCCAATAGAATTATTTTCTAAATTGATTTAATATAACAAATCAGAGAATTCTAAATTTAAATAATGTGTTGAAGACATTGAAAATTTATATGAGAATATCATTCAAAAAATATTAAAAAAAGAAATAGATTCAGAAAGTGCAAGAAGTGCCTCAACTAAAATAGATATAGATGAAATTATAAAGAAACTTACATGAATTTCATAAATCGTATTCTTCTTTCTTTTATTCCATTTATTTTTATTCTTCATCTTCTTCCTTTTAAATTCTTTCTTGATTTTTTAAACCTTTAACATTTAATTACTTTTGCAATTCTTAGAGTAAAAGAGATGGTGGAAATGGAGCACTTCCTTCAATTGTTAATCTAATATAAAAATCTATAAATAAAACTTAGCAGGAGGTGTTTATATTTATGGTAATACTCTAGAATCAATACTATATTCCAATTAATCTTAATAATTTTAAATTCTTTTAAAATCTATTTGCTCTATAAAATGTTTAAAAATAATTCCGTTTTCTATTTTTTAAATAGTCTTTATAAAAATGATTTATATACTGCTGGCAAAAAAGTAAAATTATCTTAAAATAGATAATAAATAATAGCAACAATTGATGAACTAATAAAAGTCAAAGATTGCTGAATTAAACTAAAGAGAATAACAAACAAAATTGAATAATATTTATTTTTTAGTTAAATTGGAAAAATCAATAATTGACTTTATCCATTTGGTATCATAAGACAACTTAAAATAAAATGATAATTGATACTCTTGAATAATGAAGAATATGAAATAGTTCCATAAACTATATGCTGGTTTATAAGAGAAAGGAGTATAAATGAAGGAGAAGAAAAATTATAATAAAAGGCAAATTGTCTAAAATGATATATTTGTTTTTATACTTAAGTGATAAAACCTAAAATAAAAATGATGATAATGAATGAAATTGTGCTGTTTTTTATTTCGAACTCTTTGAATTTATTAGAAATACATATTATTGCTAATATCATATCAATACTGTAATCTAAAGTATATTATAAAATTTCATTATACAATGAACAAAATCTGCAAAAAATAATCTCCATATTTAAAAAGGTAATGTTGAATTTGGGGAATTACTGAAGAAATTAAAGGTATAATGTGTAAATAGATCAATTAATCCAAAAATTGATGAAATTGTTAAGATAACTTTTGTTCCAAATAGATGTGATTACCACCATGTTTAAAGCAAGGAATCTAATCCTGACTACTAATTTATATTATTGTCTAATCTTTATTGATTCATTATATTAATATTTTATATATATATTCATTATATTAATATTTTATATATTCTAATAATTAATCACTTGAATACAACTGCATAAGTGTTGTTTTATTAAGTGAATTCAATATTGAATGAGGATCCATTCTACCAACTACTCTATTTCAACTGTTTAATCTACTCAGTTGTGAGTACTTTCAATTATTATGTATCTGCTACATTAACAAATGTAATAGGTTTCATATTATCTCTATTTGGTTATTTACTTAAGTCTTTACTCCATTTATTAGGTTGGTTGCCATTATATTTCCAAACTAACACAGTTAATTTATTATCAGAAACATATGTAAATTCTTCAACTTATCCATTCTATTTTTTTTAACCCTTATTTATTGCCTCTTTTGTATACAATTAAGCCAATAAATTAGGTTGTGATCTATAATTAATTCTACTAATTTCAACTGATTAAGTTCCATAAAAGGTTAATGTACTATCATATAATTATTCATTTAAGAAATCCAAAAGAATTACCATAGTATATCTGCCCTTTTATAAGTCTACATTAACTACTAATGTCTTAAATTGACCATAATCCTAAGCAATTAATTATTGTTATTCATCAAAAACTAATAATCTTGCAAAACAATAATCATATTTTTTACAGATATTATTTCTAAAATATCTTTCATCTCTTTAATGTAATCTAAAAGTAGCAACAGTATCTTAATGTACATCCACATAAAATGATGAATAAGCATCATTATTTGCTTTCAAATTATAACTAATATGATAATTATTAGGAACACATTTAGCAATTGTTATTTATTTACCTATAATATTTTTTATAGGTAATTTAAATTCCCCTTCTGATTAAGCAGTACTTGGTTGATTCCTTACCCATCCCCATGGATTACGTAAAGTTACATCTTTACCATCATAATTCAAAAATGTAAAAATTCCATCAGGTAAATGTACCAAAGCAACATCATTTTAATTCAAAGATTTCAAAATATTATCACTTACTTATTCAACAATAATAGGTGCTCCTGTAGTTTCTTAAAGAAAATCAGCTACAGTAGCAGTTTTAAATGCATCCTCATAACTTCCATATTCTTTTGCAAATGCCTTCTCAATAATGAATGGCCATATTTCTGATTAATAACCAGGATTGGATTTTTGTAATGATCTAAATAATTAATAATTATAAATACTTTAATTTATTATTATCAATTGTAGTCCTTGCTCCAACAGGTTCTCCTTTAAAATAACCAAGTAAATCATCAACTAATATATATTTCCATACACCTCCTATACATAATCGAGCATAATAAAATCCAAATTCGTTTATAACTTGATCTTCTAAAATTCTAGTTATTAATTATGGTTATTCAGCAATAGCAGCCAATACTTACATCAAAGTACCTGATTATTATCCAGGTACTATATCATTTGGTTCAACTACTTAATGAGTATCTTATTCTCTTCCTAGATTAAACCTTTTAAAATCAACTTAACCATGTCCAAATACTTGAAAAACTTATAAATCATTAGGAGGAAATGTTGGATCTACATATTCTTTCTATGGTGCAAATTTCAATGACAACTTTTTACTTACTTCAATATTATTTTTTGGTTCCAAAGCTTTAATTCTATCCTCTGGTATTGTTTTGATATTCTTAACTATGTCTTTTACAACCTAAGTATTCTTTCCTCTCCTTATAAAATTGGGTCTGTTTTCAGATATTTATGGTCCTTATTCCTATTCTTGATTATCTTAATCAATTCTATTATATTATGGTTATTGATTTTATTGTTAATTCCCCTTGTTGGATTAATCATTTTTAGAAGGCTACTCAATTTTAGTTGGTTATTCTACTTTTGGAGATTATTAAACCTTATTTGGTTACTCTGGTTGAAGAGGAGGTTATTAATTCTTTTGATCTTCTTTTTTAGCTGAGGGTTTATTTGAAATAGATTTTGCAGGATCTACAATATCTTTTGGTGCAGGTGTAGGTGTTTATTTTTCATTCTATTATGTTTTATTTGTTACTGGAGTTTATGATTAAGAGGGTTATTATTGAGGTGTCTTTGTTTATTAAGGAGTCTTTGTTTATTATGGAGTTTATGATTACTAGGATGGTTGAGGTTATGCTTAGGGTGTTTTAGTTTATGATGGTTATTATGCAGGAGTCTTTTATTAAGATTATTGTTATTTTGGATCTGGAGTTTAGAATGGTTGAGTAGTATTGGGTTTTGCTGGTGTCTATTATGATTACTTTTATTATTATTATTATTGTGGTGTATCCTTATTTCCTGTATTATTTTGTGTTTATGTTTATCCTTTTTTTGGATCTGTATTTGATATTTCTTATTCACTCTTTTTAGTTGTACTTTAAGGAGGTGGTGTACTTGGTATTATTGAACTATTGTTGGACTTAAATATTAATAAATTATATATACTTTATCTATTTTTGAATCATTTCGACTCTTCTTTCTTATTAGACTATCAAGAAAATCAGGATCACTGTTTTGATTTTTGAATTTTTCATCATCATCATCGACTTTACTTCTTGCAAAACTAGAGATACCAGGATCATCATCATCATCATCTTAGATGTCACGAGCCCTACCAGTTAACTATCTCATGTTGGGTCTACGGTTAATTAGCTAACTTGACTAATACATAATAAAAATTTAATTATTCTTCTAAGATTGAATTTTGATATTATTTGTTCATCATATCAATATATAAAATTCATATTTTTAAACAAAAGAATTAGAAAACATATCAAATATATGGTTTCCATATAAACTTATAGATTAAATAATAATCAGATACATTTTCAATTTATTTAACTCAATTATGAAAAAATAAAATTTTATTGTTTTTAAATAAGTATATATATAAATTAGAAAATTTCATAAAATTAAAATCAGTATCAAATTTTTTGATTAACTAAATAATAGATCAAAAATTACCTAATATCAAAGCTTCTATTAATTAATCTTATTTTATTTTCTCTCTTTTTTATTTAAATACTTATAATCTAATAAAAATCATTATATTCACCCTAAAACATTCTCTCATTTTATAAAATTATAGAATTATAATAATATTGATTTAGTTATTTATTTAAAGATTTAAATTATGATAAATTTATTTATGAATTGCTTAGTTGAATAAGAATAAAGTTATTGAACTATTTTTGATAATAAGTTGATAAATATTAGTTACAATTATAAAATTGGATTTTTTATTATTTTACTTTAAATCCTAAATATATATTTGAATAATAAAGGAATTAATAATTCTGGTAAAATAAATATTATTCTTTTAGTAATTTCAATTTAATTATTCATTTATTTATTTATGTTTAAATTTATCCTGTTTTATTGTAATGATCATTATATTTATTAAATTTAAACTCCTGAAGGTAAAAATACATGTAAACATTTTTTCATTAGATAATATAATGATTGGGATATTAAAATATTGTTTTGTCTATAAAAAATGTTTAATTATTATATAGTTAATAATTGAATTCAAGTTAAGCATAATATACATATATTTTGAAATTTTTTTAAATAGAAAATTAAGGATATATGTATTATTTTATTAAACATAATCTTTTTCAATTATAATCTATTTGGTTTTTAAGAAGATATAATTAATTTATTTGATGATTAGATTAATTATGAATGTAGATATATTCTATTTATAGAGGTAAGACATAAGAATAATTAATGATTGAGGATTAGATTAATATTCATGTAAGTATTATTATAGGTGTTATTTATTATTAATAAAAATGGGAATATATATTTCAAGGTTTTGTAAATATTTCAGAGGAAAAGAATCAAAAGTTTATTAATCACAAAATTCAGGAACAATGTCATTACATAAATCTAAAATATTGGTATAGAACAACTCTGATGGATATGATTCAGAGCCAGAATAACATTTTAATCATGCTGAGTCACTTGTAAAAATTTAATGGAAGAAAGGAGAATTGATTGGATAAGGTTCTTTTGGGAGAGTTTATAAATGTATGGATATAAAGACTGGAAGAATATTAGCTGTAAAACAAATCGAATTAGGTTATGTGGACAAAGAAAGTTTAGAGTCGTTTCATCAAGAGATCAAAATACTTTAGCAACTGAAGCATAAAAATATAGTTGAATATTATGGATGTGACGAGGATAAAAATCATTTGAGCATTTTATTAGAATATGTAGGAGGTACCAGTGTGCATTATCAAATCAGGTGGCTCCATTTCCCACATGATGAAAAAATTCAAACTCAATCTACAAGAACCAGTCATCCAAAAATATGTGACAGACATACTCCATGGTCTTGTTTATTTACATAACAAGGGAATTATCCATCGAGACATCAAAGGAGCAAATATAATAGTAGATACCAAAGGTGTTTGTAAACTAGCAGATTTTGGATGTAGTATAATAGGGTCTAATGCATATTCATTAAAGGGCACTCCTAATTGGATGGCTCCAGAAGTAATAAATTCCTAAGAGACAGGAAGATATTCAGATATATGGAGTTTAGGATGTACAATCATAGAAATGCTAACAGGTGAACCTCCTTGGGGTAGATTCCAATCTCCTATGTAGGCATTGATAACCATTTCTTCAAAATAATGTTCACCACCCATTCCAAATAATATATCTTAAAATCTAAAGAATTTTTTAGATAAGTGTCTTTAATTTGATCATAAAAAAAGATGGAAAGCTAAATAATTGTTATAACATCCATTTATAATTTCTATTCCAAAAAAATCATTAAAGACAGATTAATTTATGTTTTAACAGAAATCCACAGATTAGTATAACAATTTAGATCTGCATGTTGCACCCTAATTAGAAGATATAAAGAAAAATGAAGAATATTTAGATAAAGAATCTCATCATATGATACTTTCTAAACAATCTTCTGTGGTAAGTGATGAAAAACATTTATAGTATTGATCTTTTTATTTAGTTTACATTAATAATTACTATTTTATAAACAAATCATTTATGTATAAATAAATAAAGAAGAATAAATATATATCTTTCTTTCTTCTAGTTAATTTAAGAATCAGAAATAGATTGTAGAATATATATTAGAATATAAAAGGAATAATAATATGCAAAATTTCTGAAAATATATGATATGTGTTCAAGTATTATTTTTTTTTCATTATTTACAATATTTATTTGCTTTAAGCTTTTGTAGATTTCGTTTTACCTTTAAAAATCAAAATTTATATTTACATTCATTGTCATTGCATGCATAGTTCCTAAATGAATATCTAATAAAGTAATAGCAAACATATAACAATTCTCAGCTGCAAATAAATTACCATTCTAATGCAATGCACATCCTAAGTTATTGAATGTTATCGCATTCTCAATATTCTCATCACCTATTGAACTTTCTCTTATCATTCTTGCTTTCATAAATGCTCTTACAGCCAATTCATATTCTTGCATATGATATAATACTGAACCAATACCACAATAAGGTCTAAATTATATAAATTATTTTATACAATGCTTTATCTGGATGATCTGCTTATAATTTATCTGTATGAAATTTCACTCTAAGAAACTTATTCAAAGCTGCTTCATCTTATCCTGCTATCTCATAAATCTATCCACCAAAATATTCGAAAAATACCATTTCAGAATCATGTAATTCTGTTAAAGACTACCATAATTCTTGTGCTTAATTTAAATTTTGCATTGCTAAGAAATAATTTTATTATGTAAATGACATCAATGAAGCTTCTACCATTGTTCTTACCTATTAAGGAGGATCATGTGGATAAAGACATTCTGGTAACATAACTGGAGCAACTGTTATATGACTTAACGTGCTTAATTCATTTAAATCTCTAAGTGGATTAGTTTATTTAGTTTTTTTTACAAAATCAATAAAATATTGATAAGTACATATTCTTGGTGGTTATACTAAAGGTTCCCATTCTAAAATATTAATAATTAATCAATACAATATTTCATAGGTTATTCTCCTTTTTTTAATTATTATTTAGGTTAAGGTTTATTCTTGTTTTTTTTATCTTCTTCTAATTTTTTAGCTAATTCTTCTCTTTTTTCTTTTTCTTTAATTGCTTTAATAAAATCTTAAGCCAAATCAACCTAAGATTTTAATTCAGGAAAAGGTGGTAAATCTTATTAAAAAAATTACCAAATTTCTTTAATATCTAATTGATCTGGTTTACGAGTAAGAAATAAATAATTTTATTATTTCATATCTTATTCTTCAGATTAAGGATTAATTTATTCTTAAATAAAATCATCTGTTTTATCTAACATTTCATAATATTTTTTAATTAAAGACAAATGTTTTGATTTATCTTCATGAACCCTATTTCCATTTTTTTATAACTCAATCATTTTTGTAAAGAATTTAATAATCAAAGGTGATATTTCCTTCTTTGAATCTTATTAAACTTCTCTGTTTGAAATATCAGCAGCCATTTTACATATTAAGAATTAAAATTCTAAATATGAAATCTTAGGATCTCCAGAATAATGTTATGGTTTGAATCTTCCACTATTGATTGTTTCACATATTTATTAAATTACATTAGATTAATAAAATTAATTTTCTTTTGGTGTTATTGCAGGTATAATTCTCATACAAATATCCTCAATATTTTCATAATTATAATGAACAGGATGAATGTTCATATCTTATAACATTTATATAAATGAAAATATTGGAATTCTAAGATTCATCAATTTAATTTCTTTCCAAGTTAACATGAGTTCATTTTTATAATAATTTTCAGGTAAATACATAGTAAATAAAGCTTAAATATCTTCTTAATATGTAATTATAGTCTTAACAACTTATTCATGTAATAATTTACGATTTGGATCATCAAGTATCAACATTCTGATTTATGTTTTTTTTTTATTATCTATGAAAATATCTTTAAGGATAAGATCTAAATATTTCTTTTATCCTTAATGTAAAGCTTTACCTAAGGCATCTATCATTCTCAAGAATTTAGTTCTGCTAAATTTTGGTGTATCATCCTTTATTATATTTATTGGTTCTTTGACTCCTTTTTTTGGAGCTTAAGTAACTTTTTACACTATTTCTTCTAAGGCAAAGTATTCTTAATATAAATTCAAGTAGAAATCAAAATTGAACTTTGCAGTTATCAATTCTCTTTCTAACAAGAAGGTCAAGAACTCATTAAATTTCATATTATTGCTCTCTGCTTTGCATATTACTTGATTAAATAAATCATCTAATCGTTTTTAATCTTCTAAACTCATTCCTGCAACAATTTATTATTCCTACATTATTATTATAATAATGTAATAATTAAGCGCTTATGCCTTGTAATTCAATTGAATCTATATATCAGACTATAAGAGTTTGAGAAACAAAATGAGCTAGAAATATTATCGATTAGAGATGAATTCTAAAAAGATATTACTTATTTATATGAAGTTTATATAGACTAATCCAAATTTAAAGATGATGAATTACTTAAAAATCCATTTTTTCAAGATAATTTATTGACAGAGAATTCATTTCTATAAATTATCAAAAAAGGAGAGGTAGATACTCAAATAGGTAAAATTTAGATATTTTATATTATAGGTACAATGGGAACACCTTATGCTTTAACTTTAAATGAAAAGAATTTAAAAAATAAAGATGATCTGTATAAATTTATAGTAAGAAATTTAGAGAATACTTTCACACTTTAGGAGATAAGACATAATTCTTATACAATTAGTGTAAGTTTTTGTGAATCTTTAAAATCATTTATAATTTCATCAAGTGGATAAACTATAATATGTTAAGATAAGAATGATATATATAAATATCTCGAATTATAAGGATGTGAAAGGGTGTGTAAAGTTAGTTAATAATTCTTTGATGTTTATTAGAATATGGATTATAATCTTTAAATAAATTTAACTAAAGATCTTATACATAGAAGTTTAGTTGGATGCAGAAATTCATCCAATTTTATTGAATGGTATTCAATTATGGAACATTATAAGTCATAAAGAATATTATCACCTGATATTGTTAAAAGATTTCTTAATCATTACAATTTAGAACCTGCTAAATCAATTTAATAATAAACAAATTTATAAAAGTTTCCATTAATATTTGATTCAATTTATAATTAATTAATAGATAAATATCATGATTATTTTAGAGGAAAAACTATTTATTTTTGGAAAGATGATAAATATTTAGGTAATTGTTATATTCCTTCAAAACATTTTTTAATTTTAAAGGAAATAAAAACTTAAGTATTTAATTCTAAATTTAATTCTCTTTAAAAAGAATCAAATAATTTTCTTTAATAATTTAATTTAAATCAATTAGAATATGAGTTTTATTAAAAATGCTTAAATTTTATATTAAGTATTCCTTATAATAAAAGATCTAATTATAGTTTTATGTAATTATCTAATATTGTTTTTAATTGTATTCATAAATAATTAGATTATATACCTTAAAAATTAGATTAATAAATTACTCTTGCTCAATGTTTATAAAGTAAACCAATTATTGTAGTATTGATTCCAGTTGGTATTAATGGAATGGGATATGATAATATTTGTTAAATTATATTTAAAATAAGTGAAGGTGTTAAAATAGTAAGTAAAACTCATGAAATTAATGATAATAATATGCTATATTTATATGATTAAATTTGTTCACTTAAAAAGTTACAATTAATAAATGATTAATTAAAATAACTTCCTTATGATGTTAGAACTGTTGCATTATATCCAGAATGTTCACATTATTATTTATCTAAAAAGAAATATAGATTTCCATTCTCTTTTAAATTTATTATGTTTTGTTTATTACAAGTATTAGAGGATAGAGATTAAGTTAATTAGATAATTAATTAATTAAAAGAATTTGAAAATCAGAATTTCAATCATCTTCCATCTGATTATTAAATTAGTTGTAATTATATGCCAAAAAATAAGGAGACTGATGATCTATATAGTGAAATAGTGGAGTCAGATTTCAAAGCAGCTTTTTCATTAACAAATGATTATTTGATAGAAAGTTTATCTTAATATAAAGATTCAGTAGGATATATTCCTGAAAATCATTTGTGGGATTAAGCAAGGAAGATAATTAATGAAATAGAAGAGAAAGTTAAAGTAAATATAACAAAAAAGAAATAAAAATATATTAAAAGTTAAGCCAATAAAATATAATATGGATTGTATATTTAAAATCCTAATTGGGAAGAAATTGATAATTTTATTTTTGATTGTTTGGAGATTATTGTATAGAATTATCCAAGAGATACTAAAATCAATATTATGTATAAATAATTGAAATAATAATTATTTTAAGGAAAAAACTTATAATTCTATTTTAGAGAAAAATAACCATATATGTTATCCAAAAAATTAGAATAAAAATAATGGTCTGTATAGTTATAAGTGGCTATAATTGTAATAGATGGAATCATAATATTATAACCTTAAGATTTAGGGTTAAATCTTTTATAAGATATTCCAATTTATTCTAATAATCTTGTAGTAACAAAATCAGAAAAGATTGCAAATTTAGTAAGAAAGAATGTAGAGAAACTTTAGGATAACAATACAAAAGAGGGAACTTTAATTAAGTAGGATATAGATATGAAACATTAAAGTTGGAATGTATTTATAGTGAAATGGAAACCAATAAATATTAAATTAATTGAGAATTTAGTGATTTGATATTTTTATTATTTAATTTTTATTAAAATGGGTTCTGAAAAGTAAATAATTATTTTCATATAAGACATAAGAAAGAAAAGAAAGAGAAAAAAGATAAGAAAGAAAAGAAAGAGAAAAAAGAAAAGAAAGAAAAAAAGGAAAAAAAAGAAAAGAGAGTAATTGCATCTTTTATTAATAATAATAGGAATCAGATGTAGGTAAAAAGAGATCAAGAAATGTGAGTAAAGAGAAAGAAAAAAAGAGAGAAGAATTTTAAAAACCTAAACCATCTAATAAAACAAATGCAGAATAATCAAGGGGGTAATTACAATTAAATAAATTGGAAGATTTCGTTTTGATTCTCCACCAAAGGATCCTTTATAAAATACTCCTTTTTCAAATTTCAAAAGCAAATTAATAGATCAAGTGTCTTTGGGAGAGTTTGAGAGTATTAAATTGAAATTAATTTAGCTATTCTTCCTGCAAATCCTCTTTAAAATCCCTTAGCTTCTTTAGAAGCACTTTAAGCAATGACACCATTAATTTAAATGCAAAGATTATAATAATTAAGAGCTTAAGCAGATGTAAAGGCTGATAGAAAACTATATGTTGGAAATTTACCACCAAATAGTCAACCAAAAGAAGTATTAATTTTAATAGATATATCAAATATAGCTTTAAGATTTTTTAAATTAAACATTATTAAAGATGGGTGTTAGTTCTGAACATGCAGGTTCTATATGTAATTGTTGGATTGATTCAAATGGTTTAATATTTTAATTTTATTTATATAGGACATTTTGGTTTCATTGAATTTAGATCTCCTGAAGAAGCTACATAAGGTTTCATTTTGAAAGATGTAATTTTTAAAGGACATTAATTGAAAATTGGTAGACCAAAGTCATTTTTAACTTCTTTAGCAGCTGTAAATTAATAAATGATGAGTGAATAAGCATGTAATTGTGTATTAATAAATTAAGTTAATCCTTTGAGTAGCATGAAAGGAAATGATAAAGACTCATCTTCACTTATTAGTTTTAGACCACTTAAGTTAATGGCTAGATATGTGTAAATACCTACTAATATTTTAGTTATTAAAAATGTCTTGACTCTTGAAGATGTTTAATATTTATACAATATATATAGGTTACAATAGATGAAGAATTTAATGATATAATGGAAGATATAAAAGAAGAATGTTCTAAATTTGGAACTGTTAAAAATATTATTATTCCAAGACCTGAATTTGGTAAAATAATTGTTGGAGTTGGCAAAATCTTTGTAGAATATGAAAAGACATAAGAAGCTAGAACTGCAAGAAGATATCTGGCTGGTAGAATGTATGGTGATAAAACTGTTGAATGTGAATATTTATAAAGAGAAAAGTGGGCAAAAAGATAATTTACAGATCTCAATGAGGATATTTTAAGAGATAGAGAAGAACAATAAAGATTGGATTAATTAGAATAAGAAAGAATAAAAAAATAAATGTAAGAAGAAATGTTTCAAGGGAATTGATTTAAATATACAGACAAAAATTTTATTATTAAGTTTTATACAAATAACTAAATTTGTAAACAATTAAATTCTTTAAATTATTTAATATTTTTTTCTTATTTATTCCTTCTATTTTCTCATTTTATCAAATAATAATTATAATATTTATATAAATATTATAGATAATATAAATTTATAATTAAATATATATATAAATTAATTGTCAAGTATTTCATGTGTTATCTCAACTTACTTTAGAGTATATAAAATCAACATAAATTTTAAATTAATTTTAAAGTATTGTAAATCCTTGATTTTCTATTACAGGTTTCAGTACTGTCTCATCATATAATCCAAGTATAGGCATTTTATTAGTAATCTAAAATTTAGGATCTTTATTATTAATAACAAATTTAACATCAGCTACATTACGTTTTGTGAAATCCAAAATTGGTACTTATTCAATCTAATTTTATTAATAAAAAATAAATTACATTAAATTTAATATCTTTTGAAATAATCTACAAATTTTTGAATTTGTCTATAAATAAATATTAAAGAAGAGAAACAAAAAGCTTTAATGGTTCTGCAAATGGTTTAAGTAATTCTTACCAACCATTCATAGAAAATATTGATTCATATAAAAGTTATTATACATAAGCATATTCTATAAAAGCCATTTTTTATTGATCAGTAGAAGTGAATCTAAAATAAAACTTATAAAGTACTTTAATTTTCTTTTGTAATTTAATTTTAATCTTTATGTGACAAAAGCTGAATGAGATGGAAATAAATATCCTTCATTTGTAGTAAATGCTTGTATGTATGACAAATGTTATTTATCAAACTTGATAGATTATGTTATAATGATTAATTGCTTAATTAAAGTATCTGCTGCTTAGATTAAAGTATTTATTCGATTTGGAACATCTTTATTTTCAGTGAAAACCCATGATTTTTTGAATAAGGAAAGTTTTTGACCTTCTCTAACAAATTATGATATGACGTTTGCATATAACTAATATAATAATAATTATTTACAAATTGCTCATCATATTAATGATGTTAATCTTCAAATCTTTTAATTGCCTTATTTTCCAGTATTTGATAATATTTATTTTTATAAAATATAATCATCCAAGCACAATATTTGAGTTTTTTTTTTAATTTTGTTAATCTTTCTGGTGTTGGTTTTATTTTCAATGGTTATAGTTTAATTTTTGAATTTTAATTTAATAATGGTAGTTATTATTCTTATGATTTAATGGAATGCTTTTTATTTTATTTTATTTTTACTGGTTCACGTAATTCTTATTCATATCTAGAACTTTTGCTAAGATGATAATCTGAATTATCTTTTTGAGATATATGTTTAACCCTTAAATATCTTCTAGATTTCATTTTTTATTAATTATCTGGATCATTCTTTGTATTTTTTAATAATTGTGACAAAATCTGATTTAATTAATCTACTTCTTCTTTTTTTTTAGCAAAATCTTTCAAGAATTTACTAAAACTTCTTTCTTCATTTTAAGGTTGTTGTAAAGGTATGTTTTGAAAAGGGTAATACTAATAATAAGGATTTTGATTAAGAATTGGATAAGGCATTGGTATTGAATTATAGGGTTGATGATAATTATAGGGATGTTATTATTAAGGTATAAATGGAGGAAGAAAATGTGCTTAAGGAAGTTTTGGACCATTCTCAATTTATTTAAGTTATCTCTTTAAATGCTTTATTTCATCAAGCAATTAATTATTAAGTCTTTCACTTTCATTAGTGTATTTATATCTATCTTGTGACAAATATTATTACTATTATGTATTTGAAACAACTTTCATTAATGCATCTACTTATTATTACTGTTCATTTAGTCTTTTTTACAACTTATAAATTTAACTTATGTTCTATTCAGTTTCTTTTGTGAATTCTTCAAGAGAATTTAAAGGCTTCATATTTACATAACTTTAAGGAAGTTATGGTATATTTAGATTCATTAAAAATAAAATTTGTAAAAAACAGTTCATTTATAAATCCAATTGCTATTAAAACAATTTGGAACAGTGTCAAATGTTAAAAATATCAATTTAAATGGACAAAATTTTAATCTTATAAGTATCAACATTATTGAGACACTTCCTCTAGAACTTATTTAGCTGGACATGGCTATTTATATTTAGGATCAAATTCTTTAAAATATTCAGAATTATATTATCCTTGATAAGAAGGATTCAATTAATATTAAGTTTATTCTTTGAAATTTGTAAATTTATCTGTTCGATAAGGCTAATATGAAGATTTTGTAACCGAAATTCCATTAAATTTCATATTAGGAGGAGATAAAGGTGATCTTACTCTAATTAAATATATACTTATTGCAATGAAAACCTTTGGTACTTTATGCAGGTTAAACTTATGCTCCTTAGAAACATTCTCTATAATTGGTTCTTCCAAAAAATGGAAGATCTCTAATTACAGTAGGATTCTTTTATGATAATAATGGAACAGTATCTCCACTACCCCAATTTAAATACATATTATTATAAGTTGAAAGACCACAAAAGGGTCCACTACGTAAGACAGATTAAGGAGAATTACTCTTAAATCTAAAATTGGATTGGCTTCCCAAAAAATCATGCTAAAAGAATCATTAAATACTAAATACCTTATATGTTGATACATTTCCTATATCTCCTTCTTATTTGGGATTATCAAAAAGATTTTAATTATAATGAGCACTTTAATCTGGTGATTTATGAACATATTCCCTTTAATATATACTTCTATTTCCATGCATAGATGGTCTATTTCTACATTATTTTCCTTCACATTAATGTCTGCCACAATTACAAAGAGAACAAATACATTATCCTATCATTTTTTATTATCTATACCTCCCAAATGTTCAAAATATGATTAAAATTGTTGTTCTTCTTTATTTACTCCATTTTTTTATCTACTCATTAGTCTCTCAACCAACTATGTTATTTTAGAATAATGTTAATACTTTAGTTTAAGTGTCTGTTAGATCACCTCTAGGAGATGACAATTTAGATCCTTATTTATTACTTCGAGATCTTATAATTATTTTTTATTGGGGCATTATTAACTATGATATTATAATTATCACTTTCTATTATTGAGAATTAGGAACAATCAAATTTAAATATCAAATATACATTCAAAATTGATGTATGATATTATTAAACAAAAACTGAAACTTCATTATAATTCATCAAATTTTACAAATCAAGTTTAATCAACTCATATTCACCATTTTTTTGATAAAATTATGATAAGATCAAATCATCCCAAAATATTGTAGATTATTTAAATTAAAAGAGAAAACTAATTATTTACAAATAGATAGTCAAAATTAATGTGGATCTCAATTTAGATAGCCCTGAATATTCTATATATTAAAAATGATTGCCACTGAATTTTTTAAAATTTACTTTAATTAAAAGCATAATTCAAATGATAATCTATTTGGATATACAAGCAATTATATTAACAACATTTATCATTCTTAAATATAATTGAAATTATTTAAACATAATCTGAATTTTAGAATATAGATTATAAATAAAATATAATAAATATAAAAAATTGATTATTATTAATGATCTACATAAAACAATATTTAAATATAAATACTCATTTATTAATTTATTGCAATTCTGATTTATTGATTCATTATAATAATATAATATCATAATTCTTATTTTATTAAATATTTTTAATTAGATTATGATATATCTATTATAATTATTGTATTTTTGATTCAATTATCATAAGATTTAATACTCTTTATTATTATTTTTATAGTTATAATTAATAATATAATGATAATATCATATATAATTAGATTGAAATGATTATTAATTATTAATAATTGATATAACATTAGGAATGGAACCGTTTGCAATTCTTACAAATATTATTAAACCTGAATACTTAAACTACTATAAAGATTGGATCTATATAGCAAGTGAAAAAGAAGCCAGAGGACTTTAATTGATTGGTGCAATTTATAAACATAAAGGAAGAAAACTATTTAGGTTAAATCTATATAGATATAATAGAGCTAAACCTCCTACAGTCCAATTATAAGAATTAACTGATCAATAAGAATTAGAGTAATAATTTTGTATTATATTTTTATAGCTTTAAGAAGGCTGAAGAAATGCATAGAAAAAATTAAACTTCAACAACATATGGTACAGAATTTGGATATTTACAAAAATTATTAAAGCCTTAAAATAATGTTTTCAAATTCAAGAAATGTTCTGAACTTGAATTTGCTTAACCTCTTAATGATTTGGCAAAATTATTTTTAGATAATTGGATTGAAATGAATGATGAGTTAGAATTTTAAGAATTAGTATTGAATTGTTTAAGAGCTTTGTTTAGCAGATTTAAAGCATAATTAGTGCCAAAAACTGAAATGAAGTTATTTTATTATTATTATCATTTAGAGTAAAATATGAATACAAACCAGATTGGAAACTTTCAAATCCTATAAGAGTAGATAAAGCAGGAACAGATATCAAGTAATATAATTTATTATTAGATAGTGCTTACAAAACTAATTATAATGCAATTTTTAAATAGAGGCTTAAATAAGAATAGATTAAATAGAAAATTGCAGAATTAGATGGAACCGATTTTGCCAAGGCTCTAACAATCCATAAATCATTCAAAATAAATTGATTTAAAATATTAATAAAGATATGAGAGGATTAATTTATAATATCTTAGTTTTTATGTGTATCTATCTTTGATGAATCATATTTGAATATTAATTTTCTTTTTTGCTAATTCAGCCTTATATTTATCAGGTATTGTATTATCATTAAGTCCTTTCAATTTCTATTCCTTAATATTTTCTAATAATTTCTTTTCATTTATCATTTTATCTCTAATCTTTTTACCTTCTTCAAGCCTATAAAATTAATAATAAAATTATATACTTATCTCTTTCTTCTTACTTTCTTTTCTCTTCATTCATTGATATCTATTTTCTTAACTCTTCTGCATGTTTTTTGACCATTTATTCTTTCTCTTACTGTAACCTTAATTCGTTTTCACGTTCTTATTTTTACTTTTAAATAACTCTTTGGAATTCATCCCTTTCAAGTCTAGCCTTGATTCAATATTAAGGTAAAGTACTTATTCTTCTAATTTATCTTATTTTTCATTCTACTGTACTTATCTTGCTTAATACAATTCTTAATTTAATTTTTATCTAAGTTCTGCTTCCCTTCTTTCTTTTTCTCTAGCAGCTCTTTCATTTTATTCCATAGCTCTTTTTGCTCTTAATAAATCCAATTCAGCTTATCTATCTTAAGCTTTTTCTTGCATTTCTCTTAATCTTTAAACATCTCTTTCTCTTTCTTCTTTAATTCTTTTCTATTCTTCAATTATTTCAGCTTCTTTCTAAGCCTTTTCTAAATTATATTTTGCAATCTTCTCTTCTTCTTCTTTTTCTTCCAATCTTCTCTTTTCTTTAACAACAATAGCTTTAGAATTAGCTTCTAAAATTTCATCTTGTAATTTCTTCTACATATGCTTTCTTTATTGATTTTTTTATTGATCTTCAATTTGAACTTATTTAATTTATTTAATCATAATTTATCCTTCTCTTTCCTATTCTTCTTTTTCCTTAAGTCTAATCAATTCTCTTTCTTTAATTTATTCTACTATAATTCCATGACCTTCTTTTAATTCTTATTTATGTTAAACATCTTTTTCTTCATAATATTTAACTGATTTAAGTCTTTCAATTTCCATCATAAGATCTTTTCTTTTCTCTTAATTTTTAAATTCTTCTTTCAATTATTGTTTTTCTTATAATTATTTATCTCTTATTGTAACACATTTGGCATACATAACCATCTTATTCATCTCTTTAACATCATCTAATTATTCATTCAAAATCTCTGCAGCCTAAATTCAAATATAATTAGATACCCTTGCATTAAGACTATCCTTTACTACCTTATCTTCCTATTATTATGCTGTCAAAGGTATTTGCTTCTTTTTTTCTTCTTCCAATTATGTCATTCTTTATTTCTTAGCTTTAGCTGCTGTCATTTACTTTTCTTTTTATTCCTCTAAGAGTTTCTTCTAGTATAATTGTTCTTCCTTAGTTTTTACAATAGCATTATTCTAATATTAAAGATGAAATAAACTTTCATTCTTTATAATTCTGCTTCTCCTATTAAAACAACATCTGGATTTGAATTGTCTCCTTTTCTAACACTCTGAATTACTTTAGCAGTTTTAGCATCATTTCTTTTATTACTTCCTTTTATGTAATTAGTTTTAATTTGATACCAAAAAGGGACTCATCAACTTCACTCTTTCGACTTTTGCAAGATGCTGGCCTACTCATTTTACTCTTGAGGAATATAAATATACAAATATACCATTGATTTTAAAATTTCTTATAAAATAAATTATCAAATAAGTTAACATTTGTCACAGCAATTTTAAGCCTATTATATAGAAAAATTATGACGCAATAAATCCACTAAATATATTATATATATATATATCTACCTTTTTCTTCAAATTTTTCTATTTCAATTGGTTAATGTTGGAATTTGTACCAATCACCTATTGTACCTTAAACCATTTATATCATTTTTAATAATAATTATGCACATTATTACTTTTCTGCATTTTAGAATTATGAATTCAGTTTAATTACATTTCCATTAACATCCATGTAATGTTGAATATATTCTTATAATTCATCAGAACTTTCAGCCAGTTTCTTTGCATCATAAAATCTAATTATAAGCTAGAGTTTACAAGCTCTTGACTTAAATTTCAGAAAGTGGAGGAAGTGCTTATAAAAACTGTTATTGATTAAAATGGTCTAAAATAAGAGATGTATTTGAAATGATTTGTAAAATAAACTGATTCCCTTATTATTCAAAATTATTTGGATATCTATTCTGAAAGTCCTAACCATTCCAAAATTCATACATTTGTCAACAGATATATTAATATCAAATAACAAAATTAATAATTTTTATTTTCTAATATTTATTAGAACATTATAATTATATTAATATATACTTATAAATGAAAAATAAAAAGTTAAATCAAACTATAGAGCTTTATCTTAATATCATTTGGAAGTTTTCAGTTGATCTAACAGAATTAATTTATTTTGTAAATTCTGCTAAAGATTTCTTTTCTGGTTTTTAATGATTTTATTCTGCTTTACTTATAAATCCTTAATGTAGATCATATTTTAACTATTTTGATTCAGGTGTAATATATTAATTTTAAGGAGTTGTATTCCTAATATATTGAGGACTAACAGAATCTTCATTCTTTCCTTAATCTCTCAATATTCTTTTAGATAATTAGGGTTATTACAACCTTTATGAGTGATCAGAACGATCCCGTCCTCTTTAATGTAATTAAAATTATTTAAATAATCCAGTTGGAGAATTAGAATCTAACCAATCTAATTGAGAGATCTCCATAACATTAGAATCCTTACAATTTAATACATTGCTAATGCATAATTCCTTCTTTTTCCCACAATCATTTTTAGGTTTAAGAGATACAATACAACCTCCACTTCCTTACTCTGGTTTATTATTTTCTTTATCTTATTATGGTTTCTTTTTTTTAGGTTTCACAATTACACTACTCTCTTATTGTTATTGTAGAGCATCTATTTATTATTCCAAATCAGTAAGTTCATTATCTTAAACTTAAGCTTATTCTTAGATTTTAAGTTCTAACTATTCTAAATAGTTTTTTAAGTATCTATTCTCCTTCTCTAATGAGGATAAAACAGTAGTATTTCTATTTTTAGATTCAATCAACTCTTGAGAATATTATTCTAAAGTCTGCTATAATTGTTTATACACTAAACTCTACAAGTATAGGACTTTAACTTTACATTCTATTTATTAACATCATTTTGCATTGAATTATAAGCATTTAGAATAGTTTCATTAAACATTTTGTAACCATCTTCTCTCTCCTTTAATTCTTATAACTATAACTCTAGTAATTAATTCTACTATTCAAGTAAAGCCTTTTAAGTCTTCTAATCCATTATATAATTTAAAATTTAACGACTAATAATTTATTTAATGAATCAATTATCTCAAACATTTCATCTTACAAAACTCTTTTCCAATTTAAATTTAATATTTCTTTATTCTCTTCTTTCTCTTTTTATAAATTGATCTATAATACATTCTTATAAAATAAGGTATGTTCACATTTTTATTATCTTAATATTATATAATTATTTATTTTATAGATATTTTAATGATGACTTAACTAGACAATTTTAAAATATCAAAAAATTCTTTAGTTTTTATTATAAAATTTCAAATCTTTAATATTCAATTAATTTTCAAGTGTATCTTATTAATATTAGTATTAAATAGAAATTCTTTATTATCTAAATTTAATTTATTGAAATGTATTACTTCATAGTTCTTATTATTATATATAAATTTTTAAATTAAATTATAAACTAATATAGATATAGGTTATTCTATTATTTCGAAACGTTTTGTTGATATTCAAATTCTATCTAAGTATTCAAATCACAATTTTATTCAAGAATATACATATTAAACAGAATGAGATATATAATAAATCAAAAATCATTTTATTGTAACTAATTAAAATAAAATAGATGTATAATTCTTTGTTTTTTGTTGTAAGAATTTTTATTAGTTGAAATCAGAATTATAGAATAATTAACTTAGCTTATTTTAAATAAAACAATTTTTATTTGTGTAAAATATATTAATTAAATTAATGTAATCATAAGGATAAGCACCATTATAAATAGAACATTATATAATAGGGAAAACTTTAGGTGTAGGTGCCTTTGGAAAAGTGAAGTGTATGTGATATTGATTAAGTATAATAGTGGCTAAACACAATATCACAAATACATAAGTGGCAATTAAAATTATTAATAAGAAAAAGATGAAGAATTCAAGAATGGGAGCTAAAATTAGAAGAGAGATACGATTACTGAGATATTTCAATCATCCAAATGTTATCAAATTATATGAAGTACTTGATACTCCTGGAGACATCTTTGTAGTAATGGAGTATGCAGAAAGAGGTGAATTGTTCGATTTAATTGCCTAAAGAGGTAAATTGCCAGAGGGAGAGGCTCGTAATTTCTTTTTATAAATATTAAGTGGGGTTGAATATTGTCACAATAATCTTGTTGCTCATCGAGATCTTAAACCTGAAAACATATTGATAACTCATAATTATATTGTGAAGATAGCAGATTTTGGACTCAGTAATTTAATGAAAGATGGTAAATATCTCAAAACATCTTGTGGGTCTCCTAATTATGCAGCTCCAGAAGTAATTTCAGGTAAAACCTATTGTGGATCAGATGCAGATGTATGGAGTTGTGGAGTTATTCTGTTTGCATTGTTAGCAGGATATTTACCATTTGATGAAGAAACTACATAAGCCTTATTTAAAAAGATTAAGACAGCTGATTATACAATTCCTAATAGTTTCAGTCCTTAAGTGAGAGATTTGATTAATAGGATGTTAACTCCAGATCCATTAAAGAGAATTAAATTTCATGAGATTCATTTACATCCTTATATGAGGAGTAATTAGGTGCCATTTTATTTATAGATTCCATTTAAATTAGATGAAGGGAGAAGATAAATTAATGATGAAGTTTTTGATAAATTAATGTAATTACCTTCTGTTAATGTAAAAGGGATATCTCATAATTAAATCTAAAAAAGTATACGTAAAAGAGAAGATAAATCATTTGTTGTGATATATGATCTACTTTTAGGATAGATGGGAATAGAATCATCAACTCCTATGACTCTCCATAATCTAACAAAACAGGATTTGATATTTAATCCTTAAATACCATAAGTAGAAGGATAATCTTTTGATAATGTTTTATTAACAGAAATTCAAAAGCCTGCTCCATATGATTATGGAAAGGAACTACCCAAAGATATCATGGCTATTGTTTATCCATATTAAGCTAGATAAATTGTTAATGCAATTTATACTTGTTTAGAGAAGTTTAATACTGTCATCAAGATCAAGAGTCCTGATTATAAATTAAAGTGTTATCATAAGAATTTGATAAAAATGACTAAATATAATTCTAGTGTTGAATTATTTAATGAATTTCAAAAAGAAGGAGATGAAGCAGGATCTAAGAATGATTTGGCATCTCTTAATTTTAAAGAGGAAAATAATAATAAAAAACCAAAAACAAAAGAAAATAAATATTCACCAAAAGAAATAATATTCAACATTTAAATTTACAAAGTATTTTATATACTATTTATATTTTAGATGCCTTCTAATAATAATGATCATATGATCGATTTCTAATTATGCAGAGGACATCCTGTTGTTTTTATGGATTTTTGCAATAAAGTTATAGCATTGCTTAATTAGCACTTCAATTAATTTTGATAATTTTATATTCAAAACATTAATATTATAATTAAAAATGGTTCTATAATTTATTATAAAATTAATTATAATTAAAAGTAAATTTGAATTAAATTTTTCATTTATTTATTTATATATAAATTAATTATCATTTATTGCTTGTTTTTTTGATTTTTTTACTAACTCCTGGTATTTATTATTCATCTTTAAGTTTTTTCAAATAATCATCAATACTACGTTCTAACTCATTGGCACATTTAAAATATATTGTATCTGGTTGATTGTAATTTCTACAATTTGTAAATATCCTTTTAACATCTTTAATAAAGAGATCTTTCGATGTATATTAATTGGACTATAATTTCTTTTCTATAGTTTTGATATCAATAGGATCTGTTATAACATCATAATAATCAGGAACATCATCTTTATTAACTGGATCTAAGAAAGGCCAAGCTGATTTATGTTTTCTCATAGTGTCTATAATTTATTGACAAGAAATCATAAAGGTTTTCTCTTTTTGTTTTTTTAGTTCATTATAATCATCTATTGTCCATCCACTTTCTAAAATGCCTTATATACTCTCAGGTTTGACAGTAGGCTTATCAGAATTGGAATTTTCAACTTTGTAATTCTGTTTATCTAATCCAGGGTATACTCTATCATTTAAAGTCAATTTCTTGATAATATCTATCATTTGCTAACATTAAACTCAATCTTACCTGCTTTTACTCTCTAATTAAATCACTTATATTGCCATAGTCTATAGTTGAATGTACATAACATTCCATTAAGGTACCTCCATCATAATCTTTAATAAATCCTTTCCATCTTTCTGGTTACATTTTGATTTCTTAATAGAATCCTTGTTTTCTAAAGTATCCAATTGCATAATTGTCAGCATAAGTGAGTAAGTATTCAACATCTTGTTTTTGGATATGTTCTTTGAATTTATTCATTAATCTAGTTCCATAACCCTTTACTTATAGTGTTGCAGTAATAGCCAAGAATGCTATCTCAGCAAATCGTTAAGTTGGATACTTTCTATAACAGATTCCTCCAATCACTTTAGTGTTATCCTAAATTAATAGTTTTGATGAAATACTTTTATTATACACATGGATTCATGATTTCTATCAAATACTAATCTAACAATATATTCCTTAGGCATTTTTGGTAATTATCTAGCAAAGATGTTTTTGAGATCTATCAGCATCTTCATACTCTCATGAGTTCCATCATTGGTAATTATTTTGAATTCAATCAAACCTTGATCTTCTTCAACTTTGGCACCTTGATCTCGATTTGTGAATCCTAAACCTGTCTATTCACCATTCATTCCCACAAATTATTGAGACATAAATAAATATCAGACAAATTAAATCATATCTAATTCCCGCAAATCACAATGATCCAAAAATTTTATACTAACTCTATCCAACTTATCTCATTCCTCTATCCTTTATACATCAATCTCTAAACCTCTTTATTGATTAAATTCACCTAAAGAATACTAAGTTTTTGAATAATAACATAAATATCAAACAGTTGAAAATTAATATCAATACAATTAAAATAGACAAAAAGAACAAGAAATAAATGGAATTTTTAACCATATTCTATTTTACATCTTCATAATCTGTATATAAAATTTAAATGATCTACAAAAATTAGAAATGAGATACAATCATATCAAAGAGTATTAGCTATCTGCTAATATAATATTCATTCATTGAGCAGAACATTAACCTTGAATCATCATATTTTAATGATTGTAAAATCCATATCTATACTTCCTAGCAAGTTTTATATAGAATAGCCTATTAAAACATAAGTATATATTATAGATATTAGAATTTATATTTATTTTTAAAAGAACTAATTGATATGAATTACTCTCTGGAATATATGTTCACATTTGATTAGTTGATAACATGAAAATTCTGATATTATTACAATTCTCTCTATAATTAAATGTTTATTAATATCTCTATTAAATATAAAATATTCCATTTATAGATGTACTCTAACATATGAAAGTTTAACTATATTATCTATTAACTTATTCATTGTATCATTAATATAAGAATATATTCATATAATATAATATAATTCACTACTTCATTTAAATGAAAATGGAATTCATTTATTATGAATAATCTTGTACTATTAATGTATTCTTTAATTTAAATAATTCTTCTATCATACTTAATTCAAATTTATTATAAATATTGATTTTTAGATTATCACAATTTTAATGGTATAATTTATATATAATTATATTATTTATTTTGTATTTTTGTGGAATCAAATTCATTAAATACACTATTAGTTATACAATTATTTGTAGTTCTCCATAAAATTTTTATTCTTATGTAAATTAATGAAAAGTGTATTGAATATGACTTGACCATTTTATAAATTAATTTATTAATTATAAAATATGGATTAGAATATACAATTGATACAAGTATGCTCAAATGACGAAATCCTTATTTAATGCAGTGACATGTTCCTTAGTTCAGATGGATTTTATCCACCTTTCATAAAAATGAAGTTCATGCAAAAAATATTATTAGATCTTAATTGCAAATAGAAAATATGATTTTTCATATCTTTCCAGTTTAATTTGATAACGATGATATGCAAATACTCAATCAATAGGAAATTATACAATACTCACAAGATATAGTAATACAATTAGCTAAATCTAATAAATTTATTTGTGTTATTGTGCATAATGACAAATGTATACTCTCCTTAACTAATATTATTGATAGAACAACACTATTCAGAATATAGCCTTGTTATAAATCTTAAATTTAAGTAATCGATCCTTATTATTAAAGAATTCCAATAAAGTTTCCTATGATGATGATATATTTTTGATGTATTCTCCTGAAAACATTACATTGTAAACTCTAGAATAACAATCAGATTTATTTGTAAATGTTAATGAGAATATGCAATAAACTTCTGATTTTATAGTATAAACAATGAAATAAACAACATTCAAATTGAAAAAGCATCTCAAAGATAATTAGTCTACTTCATTTTGTTATGGCAGTCTAATTAAAATTAAATAAATTGAAAGAGACTCTTATTTAGAATTGACAACTAATGAAAATATTTAATAGAATCCTCATAATAACAATTTACATATGACTGATGTGTAAACTCAATATTAGCGAATTTATTCAAAAAATAAAACTGTTTTTTGGAGATCTGGTGAAAGAAATTAATAAAATATAGATTTATTACTTTATGATATATGGAGATTGTATCATCCTTAAAAGATCAATTAATAGATTAAATAAGGAGATTAATTTTATATATAAAATTTGTCTGGTAATTTCTATTTAAATGGAGATTAAATTTGTTAGAATTACTAAGATGCTTCACTCTTTTCATTTATTGAAGAAGAGTCTATTAATAATAAATTATATTATATTATTTGTAATAATCAATATTTAAGTTATAAGATAATTAATGAAAATAATTTCAATTAGATTTAAGATAAACAATTAGTTGAATATAAATCTAAAAAATCTAAACTAGACTTATTACAATTTGATCTAATCTCTAATGTAGATTTTGTACACTAAAATTGGTTAGATAATATAGTTTAATTGATTTATCAACTAAACTTAAAATATTAATTACATTATGATGATATCAATTCATTTATTAAGAATTAATCAATTAATGATGGAAAATTTGATGAACTCTTCTTTTAATTATAATAATTAGAAATTGCATTAAATGATTTAACTATATTCTGTGTTGCTGATGAAGAAAAACCAAAAATAATAGATAAAAATGCAATATATTATTTAAAAATGAATTAATATAATTAAGATTTATTAAGAAAGAAAGTTATTGTTTAATCCCTTTTAGAATTTATTGAAGTAGTGAAATGGTAGTATGAATACACTTAAATCATTGAATAAAATAAAATTGAATCAAATAATGATATACCAATATAAGACCATAATATTTAATTCTTATTTCAATTAAATACTATTCTAAATTAAATTTTTTTATTTTTTGAAGCTTTTAGTTCAAATAATGATTATAATAGTCAAATGATATTTTTAGCTTATTTTAAATTAAAATAATATTTAGGATATAATGTTGGAGCATTTTATTGCTTAATTAGATTATTTGAGAACAATACAAATTTAATCCCTGTAGCTGGTATAATGCCTTTTATTGGAGATTCTGAAAAGGATTTTGATGTATCATTAATTAAAAGGTCTACTAGAATCAATACTATTTTAACTAAATAATAAAATTAAATAAAATCTTAAACATTAATTGATGAAATTTTTGAAAGAGCAAATTATTGTCTTTAAATTTTAAATAAAAGATTTTGGGGAAATATTATGAAGATATTAAGTGTTCTTTGTTTATAAAATGATAAAGCATGTTTTAATAATTAAATTAATATAGGTAAACATATAATATAAGGTCCAAAGATTTTATTATAATTTGTTATTAAAGAAGATAATTTACTCTATGTTTAAATAGATGATAATTAATATGAGTTGAATTAAATATATGTTTAGAGTAGTAAGGCTAATAAAGAATTTATGAAAGATATCATAGAATGTAAGAATTTCTTAGACTCTTAATTAAATCTTATAGGATTATTATGTTAAGAAAGGAATTATGAAAATATTTAGTTTTATAGGACTAAGTTACCATAAAAAACATTAATAAATTATATAAGTTATTCTGGAAATGCTGAATCATTAAGATGTAGATTAATTATCATTTTAATGAATTTATATGTTGATTGTTATCCTTATTAACCTAAGTAGATTCCTAAACTAATATTCAATCTAAATAAATTATATGGTTCTGTTCAATAACCATAATCAAATGGATATAATGCTGAATCATCATCATTAGAATTGTAAGAATTTTAGAAAAAGTCTTTTCATAAATAATTAACAAGATAATTTACTATAAATGATACGAAAGCTATTGAAAAATTACTTACTATTACTTAAGAATTAGTTAAACTTAATTTAATTTAATAAAATTAAATCAATCTTAGTTTAAGTGTTTGTAAAATCTTACAAATGTTTTATAAATTGTATACTTTCAATCTACCTTAAAATAAGGAATTTCATGAAAAATACTTTGATGTAAATTTATTAATATAAGCCTATACTTTATTACCTTAATCATTAGAATAAAATCAACCTTTATAAGAGTAAGTTCAATAATTCTAATAATTTTAAGAATAAAAAGAAATATTTAATTAGATGTCCATCATATTAATTGATTTTTTATTACTCTATTTTAAACAAAAAGAGACTAAAATATTAATTTAGATTATTAAAACATCTTAATAATTTGATTATCTTGATTTTTCATAGTAATATAATTATAATCATTATGAAAAGATAAAAGAAAATACATTTCTTTTATTAAAACATAAGTAATCTTAAACTGAAACATAATTAAAGGCTTTTAATTTAATGGAATCTCTATATTAACCTAAAAGGAATATTATTAAACGTTTATAAAAATGTTTATTTTTAGAAAATTAAGAAGAAGTGTCTCTTTATTAATATATAAAATTAATGATTTTGTAATTAAAAGAATTAGAAAGTGCTGATGAAAAATAGTAATTATATTAGAATTGCATTAATTCTTTAATAAATTTAAATTAATAGATAAAAAAATCATAAAATTTATTATTACTATAAAAAATTTTAAGAATTTTAAATGTAGATTATATTTTATTAGATTTTCTTGAAAGTTATTAATAAATTTGTTAATTAATTACTTAAAAATTTAATAAAAGCAATAATGATAATAGATATATATTAGAAATTAATAACGAAGAAGAATCAATTTTATAATTTTGTACACAATCCTTCATTATACTTAAATATTAATGTAATGGAAATAATTTGAATAAATAAAGAGTATTAAGTAAATTTAATCAATTTGATGAATTTTTAAAATGCATAGATTTAGGACAATATGATTTACTTTAAGAAATCTATTCTGAATCATATGAGAATATTGAATCAGCAAGTAGTAGGATTATTTATCTACTCTTAGATAATTTTAATTTAGGTTCACTCAAAGTCTTAGAATCTTTGGTCATTTAATAAAATATATCAAGTAATAAAAATCTGTTTGAAATCATCTAATAAATATAAAATACTAAAAAATTTAAATAACAACTTGGATTTTAAGATAATTCCTTAGAAAAGATCCTTTCATAAAATAAATTTTAAACATTTTAGAAGTAATTTTTAATTGGTAATATCCCTTATATTTTTTAAATTTAAGGTATTTAATTTATATTGTATTTACTTAAATTTTCAAATCCTTAAGGATGTAAAGTATTGGCTGATGCATTCCCTTTATAATAAGTAATTAAATATTGTACTTAATTAAAAGATATATTCAAACCAACATTTGAAGATTTAAATATAGCTATTTTAGAAACAATACTAAAAACATAGTTAATTAAACTATTTAATGCACTTCTAAATTATAAAGAAATCATCAAATATGATGATGAAATTTAATAAAATATTGTTTAGTTTATAGAGAAGGAAACTAAAAATTTTGAAAATAAAGTAGTTATATTAGATTATTAAATGAGATCTACAAATGAAACATAAAAAAAATATGATTACATTAATTCAAATTTTAAATTTAAAATATAAAAAAAGGCAAAAGAAACTTAATAATTATTTTAATAAATTTAATCTGGATCAGAGAATGATAGTGATAGTGACTAAAAAGAAGATGAATAATTAAAAGAATGTTAAAAATAAATGGCATGCTTTTCATTATAATTTAATTTTGATTGCCTTTATTTTAATAATTATGCTATGCTTTTACTAAATGTTTTTCTAAATTTAGCTTAATTAATATAAGAGTAGATAGAGAATTAAGAGGAGTCAAAATCTAAATCTGGAAGTAGGGCATCTTCAACTTTGGCTAGATAAATGAGTTTATCTTAAGCATTTGCTGAGAGTAATGTGAATGATATGAATTAAAGTGTAAAATTAAGACCATTTCATAATTTAAAAGTAAAAATTGATTTATTTTTAAAATAAATAGAAGAATATTTGAAATTAAATTTAACAAAGTGGGAAATTATAGAAAATGGACATTTTTTAATAGAAAAATCATAATAATTGAAAATATTATTTTTAAGAAAATTGGAATTTTAAAATTGTAATCTTGATTTAATTGAATAATAGAAAAAAGATTAAGTAGTTGATCCATATTGTTCACCAATATATTGTAATGATAATAGAATACATGAATTAGTTTTATTAAAGAATAAATCTGAAAATAAATTTATTGACAAATAAATTAATAGTTTTTTTATGAATGATCAAATTTTAGCAATAGAAAATTTTGAGATGTACTTTTAAATTTATAAATAATAATTATTTATGAATGAAGACTTTGAAATAATCAGTGAAAATTTTCCAAAGACTATTATACCTTTGATTAATTGTTTTTAATCTAGTATGAATAATTTAAATAAGAATTATAAGATTGTTAAAAAAATATTAAAGTTTTTATGGCATATGTTGGATATGCATACTTATATTAGAGATGATTACATATAGACAGTTAAGATTTATGAATTAAATAAAAAGGGAAAATATCATTCTAAGAGTGAATAGATATTATAAATAAAAGCAATAAAAGCTTTTTAGAATTTAATTGTTAATTAAGGATTATTTGAAATATTTTTGTAATTTTGTAATTAATATGATAAAATAAAGATTGTTTAATAATCAGAATTGTATTTATTAAATAAGAAAAAGAAAGAGAAATTATTATATTAATTTTTATTAACTTCAATAAGATTAGTTAGAGGAATTGAATCTGCGAATTAATTTGCTTAATAAAAATTAATGCAAGAAATTTTAAAAACTAAAAGTAATTATATATTAAAAATATTTGCAAACATTTTTGAAAGATATTAATAATAAGATGAAACATTAAAATTAAGATCATTAATATTACATGATATTAATAGAGTATATTTGGCATATGAATTTAATGAAATCCATAGATTAGAATAAAAAAAGAATGCAATGAAATTAGGAATTTTATAAGTTTAAATGAAATTAATTTAATTATTAGCTGAAGATCATTTTAGACCATTTTAAGATTTCTTTAGAGAATAAATTGGATTTGCTTAAAATTATGATATCATTCAACATCTCATGAATATTTTATTGAATTTTTTCAATTAAGAATCATTTTATTCTTTAAGTTAAGATGATTACATTTTGATTTTAAATTGTTTTGATTGTCTTAAAGAAAATATATAGGGACCTTGTCCTTAAAACTAAGAAAAATTATGTTAACCTTAATTTTTACGATTATGTTGTAAATTATTGGGATTTGATGATTCTTAAATAAAATTCTTAAATCTCTATTAAAGATTTAGTAAAATTGATTAAGCTTTATTAAATTAAGAAAAAGAAAGATCAAGATTATAAACTTAAGAATAATTTAGAAAGAATAATAATATACAAGATAAAACAATTATTTAATAATAAATTATTTAATATTATATTTAAACTCCAGTTTATTGTAGATAATTAGTAACTTCATTTAGAAAAAGTAATTCACTTAATTATAAATTGTTTATGTTATCTGAAATAAAATATAGATGTGCAACAACATTAGAATCATTAACTGATAATGAATAAAATGAATCAGATATTTTAAAAAGAATTTCAATTATTATAAATGAAAAGATACTTATTCGTAATATTACAATTTAATATGAGAAATATAAAATATTACATGGTTCTGGTAAAAATTATACAAATCTTGTATTTTCTCATTTGTTAGGGGAAGATTCAAAGAATATTGAATAAGAAAAAGAAAGAAAGAGAAATCAAAAAAGAGGTAAGGTTTAAATTAAGGATAGTAATACTTATTGGTATTAAGTAGAATAGGAAGTAACAATTGAATCAGCTGTGAAGGATTTTTGGGATTCTTTTATAATAGAGACAGGATTTTCTTTATTTAATCTTTTAGCTTAAGTATATTAGATGAAAGATTAAGATGTTTTGGAAAGAATATTTGAGTAAATAGATAATACAAAAAAATAGAAAAAGAAATATAAATCTATAGTCTTTTATAATCTTTATAAAGCAATATTTTAGGCTTCATAATTAACTAAGTAAATTTTAATAATTATTATTATTTAGAAATATTAAGTAGCTTTAATAAAGTGCATAGCTAAGTGACAAAATTTTTAATCCATACAAATTAAAGAAAGCTTCAGGTGAATAAGAAGCCTAATAAAAGAAATTAGGTTATAGAGCTTTAAGATTTTTTGCTACAAGAACAGGATCAATTGAAATATTATTACCATCTAAATAACTAAAGAAAGTGATGTTTCCACTTGTACCTCATTGTTTTGCTTTGAATAATGCAATTAAAGAGAAATTCGCTTCTGATATTGATAGATTATCTTAATAAAGGAAGGTTGAATCAGTCTTGTCAAATTCATCTCATATAATTTAAAAATTAAAAACTGAATATAAATTTTAAGCTTTATACAAAAAGAATTTTGTTATAAATTTGTTAGCTAGCAATTAGAAACTATGGAAATAAATAATATTTTTAGTAATAGTTTTAGAGAATCTAATGATCTTATTCTCAAGTGATTCTAATTTAGAATAGATATTTAGTGATATTTTGTTTGGATTAACAATTACATAAATAATTTTGTAATTCCTATGTTTTTTTATTTTTATAGTGAAAAAATTACCTTATTTAAGAATAAAATCATAAGAGATAGTATTTGAAAAATAAATAAATAGAATAAGAATGAGAGAAATTAAATATAAATATTTAGATAATTCATAAAGTATAGTACTTTAAGAGGATTTTGTTTTAGAAAAGACAGATTCATTTTTATTAGAATAAAATAAATGGAGAAGACTCTATTATAATATAACAGATTACTTTACATTATATAAATGTATTTTGTTAGATTATGAAATGATTTACTTCTTAATTTTTACAACTTTAGCTTTTATTGGATTATATATTAATATAGTTTTAGCTTTATTATTATTAGATGTTTTTTGGAGATTCCCAACTTTGACATCAATTGTTAATGTAAATTAATTAATTAATTAATATAGGCAATTTGGAGACCTAGTGGATCAATATTATTGGTACTCTCTTTGTATATAATAATGTAATACTATTATTCTCTAATCGTTTATCATTATTATGCAGATCAATATAAACCTTATTGTGAAAATTTACTTTAATGTTTCTCTTTTATATTAGATGTTACATTTAAGACAGATGGTGGTTCTGTTGGTTTTGTATCATCTAGTGATGTTTATGCAGATGAAAATTATAGATATAGTATCCTTAATTTTTGGGAATTCATTTATGTCTTTGTTGTTATTAGTTTATTATACTCAATAATTACTGGTATCATTATAGATTCATTTGGTGTGTTAAGAGATGAAGCTGAAGAACTTGATAATGATATCAAAGGATTTTGTTTGATTTGTGGAATAGATAGAGGAACTTTAGAAAAGAAAGCTAAACACAAAAAAGGATTTAGATTTCATGTTAAATATGAACATTGTGTTTGGAATTATATTTTTTATATTTCATATTTAGAAGATAAAAAGAAATCAGATTATAATGGAATTGAAAGTTATGTAGATTCAGATTTGAAAAGAGAGAGTATCAATTGGTTCCCTATTAATAAGTCACTCTCCATACCTGACGAAGAAGAAGAATAAGAAGTAATTATATATTTATATATATTATTAGGAATTGTAGAATTTTAAATAGACAATAGATGATAGATTAATAGAAATTTATAACAAAATTGATTAACTTAAAGGTTGATGAGTTTTTTATCTTATCAAGAAATAAACACTCATTATAACATATACAATTATATTAAGAATTATTCTATCTTTTAAACATTCTACATTATCTGATTTTTATTATATAATTTTTAGTATGCAAAAATTCAAAGAGTGGCTTAAGCCATTTTCTGATTATTTTCTTAATGGTTTCTCTGACACTTTTCAATTATTACTTGATAATTTTCTTGGGGACTATCTTGAAGATCCAAAATAATTGAATATGGGTACTTTACTTAAAGGAGTGGAAATGTTAAAACTAAACAAAACATTTATTAATTAACTTCTAGGTTAAAGTCTTTTTACACTTTAAGAAGCATACATAAGTAATTTATGAAACTGATATTAAAAGAATCTATTAAAGTAGCAAATTTAAAGTTTGAGGCTAGTGGAGTTAAATTAGTATTTGCACTTGTGAAAGAAATTAATATAAATGAATTAAAAGAATATTTAGATAAAACTGAAGAAGCAAAACTTAAAGAGATCTAAAAGCTCAGTTAATTGGCTTAATTAAGAGAAGAAGTTTATAAACATTCAGAATTTGAATAGAGTGTAGACTTAAATAAATCTTTGGGACCTTAAACAGGACTTATTCAATTTTTAGGTTTGGTTGATACTTTATTAAGTAATTCATCTATTACAATAAATAATATTGAAATTATTCTAATAGCAGAAGGTGGAAAATAATATGAATTCCAAATTCATCATACTAATATTAATTTTTAGAAGCAAAATCTAAAGTATGTTTCTATTTCATAAATAGTAATTTACTTTTTATAAGCTTTGGAATAGATCAGATAGAGTTAAAGTTACAAAATGAATAGATTGCTTTGATAGAAAATGCATTAAAATTTGAGATGATTGTAGAAACAAAGAATGGTAGAATTAATACAAAGGTAGATGGAAAGATATCATCTTTAGATATTGTACTTAATACTAAATAAATATAAAATCTATTATCTACAGCTCAAAAATGTTTATAATTAACTGATGAATTAAATAAAATTATAATTGATTTAAAAGGAGAACAATTAGTAGAATTTGATGATGATGAAGAAGATTTATAAAAATTAGAAAAAACAGATGTTTCTATATTGAATTCTTAAATATCTAATAAAAAGAATTAACAAATTAAAATTATTCCAAATTAAACATATATGGATACTCTTAATAATAATTTATAATAATCAATAGCTTAACATCCTATTCCATAAAATTAAGAAAAATAATTTATTGAATTTTCTTAGAGTATTTTTAATACTTCACTTCAATAATTAGATCTTGGAAAAAAAAGTGTGAAAAATTAAACTGAAACATTTAAATTTTTATTTGATGGTATTAGAATAGCTGTATGTGAAAATTCTTAATAGTTTCCAAAATTAAAAGGTAGGTTCTTTTAAGATCTTGAAAGTCATTTCTTTATTGAAATTATAATGATATAGGGTAGCTATCATAAAGATAATATAAACCTTTAAATATAAAAAATTGGAGCTCACAGAATTAGAGCAGATTCTAATAATGGATTTAATATAATTTAAAGTTAAGAACTTTTTAAGAGTTGTTAAGAAAACCCTAAATTTTAATTCTATGTTACACCTGTAATAATGATGGGATTACGAGAATAGAGTAGATTTGAGTAAGAATATGCAATATATATATTTGATAAACTTTAAGAGTAATGTAAATAAGATTAAGCATTATAAATATCTGTTTAAATCTATCAAGGTAAAAATAGAGAAAAGTTTTATATGGTAAATATCTAAGTATCAGACTTTATTGGTTCATTTAATCATGAATTATGTTTAAATTTATTGTAATATATACCTAAAAGTGAAGTCTAACAATTACCAATTGAAGAAGTCAAAAAACCATCCATGTATGGATTTGACATTAAAATTCCATATGTTAGTTTTAATTATTTCATAAATAATAAACCTATATGGTTTAGAATCAAAGATATTAAACTCAAATAAAGTCCAGTCAAAAAATTTTCACATAAATTAGGAGTTTTAGAACCTTTTGAAGGAATCCCTAAAGATGAAAATCCCTTATAATTCATTTGTATCTCTTTCTTCTCAATTTGGATTGAATTTTCTGGATAAAATATAGTAACAGTTGGATAGAATGTAATTGATGATTTACAAATATATCCATTAATTTATATAAGTATTTAAGAAAAGAAAGATATAAAGAAAAATAATAACTAAGATTTAAGAGATTCAGTAAAATATAGATAATAGAAGAGTTAAACACTTATTAGAGGATCACTTCCTTTAGTTGATGTTCATATAACATAGGATCTACTATATTGGTTAATTTCATTAAATTAATATATTAATAGTCAATAAAATTAAATGAATAACAAGAAACCATAACATTAATTAAAAGAGAAATAATTTACATATATATAGTTATCTATTGAATCCTCATCTTTAATTATTTAGGATCATTTAAATAAAGATTTATTATAATTGGATTTAGAAAAGATTACTTTTATATCTGCTAAATAAACTATTTTACTAATTCAAAATATATTACTTATAGATAATTAATGTCCTTTAGTTAAATATAATAGAAATATACTCTAATAATAAGTTAAGAAATTCTCTGCTATTTAAATTATATTATATAGAATAAATTCAAATTAATTTAATTCTTAAATTATTTCTGCAGGATCAAAAAAATTATATTCAAAACCAATTGAAGTAGATTTTGAAAATTATATTTTTAAATTGTAACTTGGTAAAATGATGAAAATATCTATTCAGAATATTTGTCTAAGAATATCTGATTTTAAATTTACTTCTTTTAAAAAGTTAAATCCCATTCTATAACACTTCCAAATTAATTCATAGAAGAAATAATCAGAAAATATATAATAGATTTAGTAAGAAAAAGAAATGGAGATTGAAATTAAAGTTCGTAAAAACTTATTTTTGGATATATTTCCAATTAATGAAGTTGAAGAACTATCTAATTAAGGATTATAAACTATTAAAGAATTCTCTAATAGCAGAGCTTTAATTCATATTGAAGATTTAATTTATACTAAAAAGCTGTAATTATCAAAAGTTGAATTATATGTATGTAGGTAAAATGGATTTGAGTTTTAATGTCCTTTAATTCTTGAGGGTTATTTTAATAAATTAAGTGTTTTTTAGTTTACATCAGTACTTTCAATTAATTAAATTAGTTTTTTTGAAAATATTTTAAGAATAGATTTGATCTAAGCAAATTTTAGATTTGATATTATTTAAACTATTCTAGAAATCAATGAAGAATTATAACCTTATATTCCTTAAACAGTTCCTTAAGATGCTACAAAAAATGAATATTTTATCTAATAGGATCTATCCAAATCACTAATAGAAGGAGAATAATTAGATAATAAAATTGAAATAATGATAGGCCAGTTACTTATGCATTTGGAAGAAGGACATACATTTTATTAAATGCCTCTTTATATGGAAAATACGAGTGATTAAGATAAAAATTTTGTAGAAGAGCTAAAAGATTATGTTAATTAATCTGATTTACCTTTCAAAAAGATATTAGACACAGTTAGTTTGAATTTTACAAATATACATTTATAAATAGAATTATATGCCAAAGGATAAACTGGTATTAAATTCTAATCTCATTTTGAAATTGAAGATAAAATTTAAGATTCTAAATTTAAACTTATATTAAGTCCAGATATAGAATCATTTAGTTCTGATTATAAAAGTATTCCAATATAAATTGGTTTAATCTTAGAAAATTAAACTTACACAGCATTTATATCTATTGCTCCTATGAGAATTTGTATATCTGGAGCTTTCCTTTAATTTGTTTTCAATTTCTAAAATAGTTAAAGTTGGATTCAAAAGAAAATATATGAAGATTAAATTCAAATTTTTAATTCTGTTAAAAAATCACCCTAAATTTGGTTGAAGAGTCTATAAATTATTGAAACATGTCTTAATCTTTCATATGACTCTTAAGGATTATAAATGGATGATCTATTAAAAGGTTTATTAAAATGTAGTTCATTTTATGATTTATAAATACCAATCAAATACATGAACACATAAATTCAAGGAACTCCTGAAGATGTAATAAATTGTGTTATAACATAATTATAAACATCATTAGGTTCTAAATTAATGATAGCTGGTAAAGCATTAACTAGTTTAGAAGCTTTCTCAGCTGTTACTAATCTAGTAAAAGGTACTTTAAATTTACTTCTAAAACCACTGGAAGAAGGTTTATTTAAAGGAACTAAAAAAGGAGTCTAAGAATTTTCTAATTCTTTAGTATTTGCCTTGCTCAAAACCTTAAAAGTTCCTTCATCAGTGATAATAAAAGGAGGTGAAACAGTAGGATTATAATCTTTGACTCTACCATTTAGATTCGTTAATGAAAGAAGCAATTAAATATTAGATAAAATAAGTCCTTCAATAATACCAAAAAGATTCTTAAAACGATATTGAATAATATTGATATTTCCATAAATGATATTAAAAATTTTTATTTCATTTAATAATATTTTAATAAAATGTTATTTTATATATACAAGAAATCAATAAATTAATGGTTTATCAATAACCTTCAAATATGAGGGTTCTAATTAAGATTAATCAGAATATATTTTGAAATAAAATTTATTATAAAAATTCCCATTTTCTAATTTTATATTTTCAACTATTTATAATTTATTATTAGGACCTAGACAATCTAATAAACATGTTGTAACTTCTTATATGATATAATTTTCATCTTATTCTGTTCTTTAATATTATTCTAATTTATTGAAGCATGATAAATCAAGTAATTATGAACTTTCAACATCAAATTAGAATTAAATTAATTTAAAATCAATTAATTATTTTGATGCACTTTAGGAATCCTCAACTTTCCTTCTTGTTTCTAATACTTGATCATTTTAAGTATATTCTTCAATTATATTAAGAGATACATTATTTATGTAACAAGATTATTTAGTAATTTATTCAAAGATATTAAATAGTATTTATGTTAAATATTTGATATTGATATTTATTTGACAATTTTTATCAACATGATTAAAAATATCAAATCTAATTTCATAATATTATGCTATACAATGAAAATATTATTAAATAGTTTTAAGATATTCATAAATTTGAAACTTTTTGTAAACTTATAATTGAGTTGAAATTTTATTTCTTTTAAAATACAATATATAATTCCTAATATAATTAATTATAGATAGGTTTAAACACTTTAAATTCATAATTTAATCGAATTCATTAAAACTTCCTAATTATGTTTTATTGATTTATTTATATAACTTTTCTTATTGTGAAACAATTTATGTTGAAAAATTAATAATAAGATTTTAATGTTCTTTTATTTATTTTTAATGTTCTCCTATTAAATTTGATACTTATTCAGATTTAATTATTCCAATTAAGATAGGTTTTCCAAAATTCATTTACTTTATTTAAATTTTCATACCCATCATTTAATCTGTAATTAAATTATGATACATTATTTCAATTTCATTATCAATGTCTTATGATATTTGTTCTGTATCAGGTTTTATTTTTTTAAATAAAAACTCCTCCAATTTTAATCCTCTTAATAACCCTTTTTCTGTTAATCTTTTTTGACTTTCTTAAGCCTTTATTATCAAATAAGATTATCTAAGAAAATTCTTCATTTATTCAGTTTCTTTAATATTCATACTTTCTTCAAATTTTTTGTTTTAAAATTCCAAAATAAATTATCTTGTTCTAGAATCTAAGCTGATTGCAAACATTGCATCATTTACAAATTCATTTATTAGTTCTCTATAAAATAAGAATCACAATACTTTTATTTATTAGCAATTAAATTCAGTGAAAATGCCAAACGTGCTGTATATTCTTACATATAAGTCCAAATTCCAATACAAACAACACAAGCAATTGTTTAAAATACATATTGAATTTGATCAGCTTAATAAATATCGAAAACCCATAAAAATATTAAAGGAGTGAGTATTGTGTAAACTAATTTCAATCTGTTATCACTATATTATAAAGTCCCAACAGCAAAGCAACAAGTATTAAATCCAAATACAAATGTAGGTCTAAATTATGACAAAGAAATACATATTTAATCCACTAAAGGCAATCAATACATTTGTAGATTAACTCCAAACAAAATAAAACGAAAAAATTTGTTTGAGGTAAGGCTACAACTTTTTACCAACAATCAGCATAAAAAAACAACCTCCTACTACTCCTATCATAATTATTATTAATTAAATGGGCTGTTATTGAATAACAAATGTTATTAAACAAATTAGAGCAGCTACTGAAACCAATAAGTTTATCATTTGAAATGAGATGAGTCTAATTTTGTTTTGATGAGTTTCAAATTCAGCTTCAAAGACAGGATCATAAAAGTTCAATTTCCATTTATGGAAAGGTAAATTAATCATTTAATAACTTAGATAAAAATTAAAATTTAAAATTACTATGTAAAATGGATTAGTATAAATACTTAAAAACAGATTGTTAAATCGAGAACAAAAAGAGAATATTAATTTTCTATTTAAATAATAATCTAAAAATTTATAAAGATGAATCCAAAATTAATTTAATCATACTAATTAATAAAAAATTATTATAATAATAATTAATCAAATAATGGAATTTAGAAGTAAATTTATCGAAAATATTCCTTATATTTATCATTTCAAAGAATGAGATTTTTTGTATAATTGCAATTGTTTTTATTTTAAATTTTAGGTATTTTAGAATTATTTACTGAATTATTGCTATATATATAAACAAATAAACGGTAGAGTTTATATTATTAGAAAACAATTTTGTATTCTTAATTAATAATGATATTCTATAGAATAAAGAGTATCTGTACAATAAAATAATTAATGATTAAAATTATATTAATAAATTCTTATCTAATAAACATAAAGTATTATTTATAATTGATATCATAAAATCATTTATGAATATTACTTATTATTCATGATTTTTTTTTAATGGTATTATACACTAATCATGAGTAAATCATTAAAAACAATAATTTTATTATGACCAATTTGTTCTTATGATCAGGATATACCTTCTCATATGCACTAAAAATATATAGTTTCTTATTATATAAATTTTTGTCTTTGTAGAAGGTACTAATATTGTTTGTTTTTTTTTATTAATGAAATTCCATCAAAAAATAATAGAGCATCCTTCTAACTAAAAACATTTTCTATTTAATTAATTAAAATGAAGGGGTGATATTTTTTATGTTTAGATTTGTGTTATCATTTAGATGATTGAGATTATATTTCACTATTTGAATGTTGACTTAAATTAAGATAATTAAGATATTTTATTATTTATAACAAAGTGATCATAAATAGTGATATCATATTTATTTTAATACATATTTTATTTTTTCAAATTTAATAATGTTATTCAAAACTTTTTTCAAGTTCTCTCCTTGAAGAATCTTTGAAATAAGCTTTTTTATGGGTCTCTAAAAATTCAACAAAATCATAAACCTTTAAATAATAATAAGTGAATACCTTTTTCATCAATTTAGGCTTTAGATTATCGTATGTATGATCAATATAGTTATTCAAATATAATTAGTTCAAAAATAAACATTAATAATGATCGGACATGCAATAATTAGGATTTTCATTTTTGAGTTAATAATAATAAAATACATTTGTATCAAGCTTCCCATAAAATTTCTCAGAGAGATAATGCATTCCATGTGAAATTTATTAGGCTTATATTAAACATAGTAATGTGAGTATAAAAATTGAATTCATTAATATTATTTGATTAAGAAAAAGAGTATATATAGTCAATATATTCTAAAAACATTATTTTAATAAGAAAAGAAGAAATAATTAATTAAATCTTTATATATGATTATTATATTAATTTATTTAATTCAATTCATTAATTCTTACATCTTTTTCATAATAGCTTCCATTTTCAATAAAGTTTAATCTATATCTAGAGAATCTTTGCATTTCATTGAATTTAATAGTTCAACTACTAAGTTCCTTCCTTTTTATTAATTTAAACTATCAATTGAATTACAATATTCTCCTAATCTTTATAAAACTGTGATTAATAGTGAATTATCCTATAATTAAAGTGCTATTAATTTATAAAAATAATTTTACAATCTTATAAAAAGTATTAATATTTTTAAGTTAAAATTTTTATTTCATCTCTTTTAATAGTTATTTATTCAATAGATTAATCTAATTTTTCTAATTCTTTTTTTCTAAATTCAATTTGTCTTTTTAATGTTTCTGGATCTCTTTTTTTAAATGAACCAAATCTTGAATCACAAGAATTTATTGATCTTTTACTTTTTTTAGCAGAAGTTTAATTTTAACTAACAATACAATTAGCAATTAAAGAATCATTATGGAAAGAACATTCAATTTAATTTTGATGTAATGGTACTTCTGCTTGATCTAAATAATGATCAATAAATAAAATCTCATGAAAAGCATTTAATTCTCTTTATTAAGAGAACATTGTTAAAACAAATTATAAATTTGGAAAGAATATTGTTAAAGTTGTTTCAAATTTGGATCTATAATTTCTAAAATTAATAAATAATATATAGGATACGATTCTATATTATTTTATCTAATTCCAAGATATTGTAATTCTTAAAGAGGATTAGTTTTAAAAATTTTAAAAGCATTTAAATCATCAATTTAATTTTTATTTAAATTAAGTCTAAATTTATAAGTTTAGTTTACGTAATAAGTTTAGGTAAGTCTAAAAATGATTTGCCACATTTACTTATTTTATTTTCTGAAAGATCTAACATCTAAATAAAAAACACATCAAAAATAATTATACCTCAATATTCTTTGCAGTAGAAAAAAATTAATCATTTATTTAAGTAATCCCATTTTTTTTTAAGATCAATACTTTTAATAAAAATAAACCCTATAATGTGTTTGTCTTTACAAAGCTTCCTAATTCATTATTTGATAAATCTAAGGCTTAAAGCTTTTTGAAATGCATAAAACTCAAAAGTAGTTGTGTTTTGCAATTGCATGCAGTTAATGTATTATAATAGTCTGGTTCTTTAATAAATGTCTTAATTAATCATAACATAATTTATATACATCTATTTCTCCTGGAAGTTTAGTAAATTCTCTTTTAGATAAATCCAACATTTTTTATATGTATATTAAATTAATTTTAAATTAAATATAATTTTTCTGTTAAAAATGCCCATTGAATTTTTTTTTTTTCACCTTATCAATTACTTATGTCTTATAATTGAACCATAAATTGTATCTTCACATAAGTCTGTAATGTTTTATGAGCAATCCAATAAATAGGATTGAAGGAGTATTTAATAGACTATTTAAGGGTTATTTCAACCATTTATAATAAACATAAATGAATATCAAAAAATACCAAGATTTTTTCTTATCACATTTTAAGTCTTATGACTCTATCTAAATCATAATTAACATCAAATATTCCTTATTTTTAATATTATCCAACCTTTTTGATACAATCTTTATGTTTAATATATTATGTATTGAAAAATAAAATAAATTGAGCGTGAAATTTTGCTAAGAGATACCAAAGAGTAATCTTATTCAAAAAATGCAAAAAAAATAAGGAGATGATCTCATACTTACATATTTTAATTTAGACTATAATACTTTTGATTTGATAAAATAGAATTCATTTAATGTAGAGATGTATTGGATAATGTTATTGAAAACTCTTAATAAATAATACATACTTAATAGAATATAATTATACATAATAAAGAAATCAAAATAATAGGATTTCTTACTTTAGAAAAGGAATTTAAATAAAACTTATGGGAATTAAAAAGATTATTATGTCTTTGTATTCTTTCATCAATATCCTTTTGATTATTTGTGGTCTGAACTTGTACAACCAAAAATTTAATTTTGATAGAGGTATTTTAAACATTAAATATTAATATAGATTAACAAAAGGAAGGCTTTGAGCCTTAAAAACAATAATAAAGGACATTTTAAATAGTCCTACTTATGAAGACTCTAAAATAGCTTTTAGTATCATTTCTAATTTAATTTAAACAATATGTCAAATAGAGATACCTAATAAGAGTTATAGGTTGTAAAAAAATTTGTATTATTTGATTAGTATCAACATGTAGCCCAAATTGGTATCGAGTTAAAATAACAATATAATTTTGATGAGGGTAGATGGATAATTTATTTAAAGATGATTTCTATAAATAGGGTGAAGTAGAAGTTTCAGAAGGCGAGTAATTTGAAGGAGATGAATTAGAATAAGAATATAAAAAGAACGAAGTTGAGAAGATGTAGGATTATAACATCATCTTAGTAAATACCGAAAGATTAAAAAATACCAGTATAAAAATAAACGACATAGAAGAGCAATATGATGATATTATTTTTCTTTATTTCATTACAAAATAGCCCCTATATTTATGATTTAAAGTTAGAAAGACCATAAAATAATTTATATTATTTTATGCTTTAAAATCTTAAAAGAGATAGATTACTGATAATATAACACTTGATGTGTTAATCATTATTATTAGATCTATATTATATCAAATCTACAATATGACATTAATTAATAATAATTTAAAGGATTAATTTTGTTTTAGTTGAGAAATTAATTATGTTTATGAAGAATTTATTTATACTACCACTTAATATCTATTTATTTTTAATAATTGTTAATTAAGATGGATTCATAAATATTGATTTGATTATCCATTACATATTCATTCATACCCCTTATTCTAAAAATTCAATAAATTCTTTTTATTATAATCACACATAACTAAAATTTTCTTCTATAAATTATCATCAATTCCTTACATTGATTCCTAAAGATCATCTCTACTTATTTAAGCTTTCCATCCTAAAATTGATTAAATATAATATATTGTTTCTTATTGTTTTTTCAATAAAAGCTGATGTGATAAACTCTGGAAAATTTATATAACTACTTCTTCAAAGATATCATCAACCATTTTTTTGAATTGATTTTCTAATATTATTTAAAGTAGACTATAGTAATTTTAGTTGAAACCTTAAACTAATTCATCTTTACTAATATAACTTATTATTTTTAAGAATTCCTTCCTTAACACTTCTTTTTCTTAATTCGTCATGAGATTAGTTGAAAAAATGAATTGCATAAATGCAGTTCGCAACATATTTTTGCCCTTCATTTTATATTAAAGTAAAATAATACAAAGAAAGAAGACAAATTTTAAATTGAATTCTAATCAATAGGAACATTAGGTGCATTCTATTAAATCCATGGATCATTAAATGATTCTTCAGCTGAAATTCTTTAAGTAGGATCATAAATAAGCATCTTTTTACCCAAATTTCTTACTTCTTCTGAAATCTTTCTCTATTCCCAAGCTATAAATCTTAATTGATATTTAATACCATAGAAATTAGATACCTCTATATTAGTTTGTCTAAATCTTTCTTCTTTCTATCTTCTATGAAATGGTGTTTCTCCACATAACATTGTGTAAAGTATAATTCAACAATTCCAAAACTCATATATTTAACCATAATTTTCCAATACAATTTCAGAATCAATAAAATGGGGCTAATTAAATATATTATCATAATACATTCCCGAATGTTTAAAATAGATTTTGATTGTTTTTCTAATTTTTCAGAAAATCCTAAGCCAATAATTTTAACATTTGAATTTGGTTTTTTATTTTCAAAAATAATTTTTTCTGTTGCTAAATGCTCATGAACAATATTATCTTCACGAAAATATATAATTGCACTAAATATTTGTTTCATAATTTCTGCAGCCATTTACTCACTTAAATATTTCGTTTCTTTTATCCTTGATATAAATCTTCTCTTTTTCTAATAATCTAATTGTAATTATAACTCATACTCCATTATAAAATAATAGTGTTTTTCATCCTAAAATATACAATTTCACTATGCTAGGATGATCTAAATCTTTAAGTATATTAGCTTATGAAAACAGAATTTCCTCATTAAAATGAAAATATTTTATCTTTTCCTTTTTTTTCATTGCTCTTTTACATCCTGTACTTTAGTGAATAGCCAATCGAATTTCTATATTATACTATCTTATACCAGTTCCTAATATTTGCTTTATTTGCTAAAAAAATTACTAATAGAACCCTATTTCATTTTAACAAAAATGTCTGGTCTTATTTTGAAATTCATCAAATTAAATTTAAGGTTCAGTGTTTTATTCTAATTGTTATATTTGAATAGTATTATTTTTCCATATAAAAATAATATTTTATCGATTCTAATATTAAAATTACTATATTGTTAAAATTTTAAGTAAAATAAAAATCTATTAATCTTTATGATTATGAATAATTAATATTTTTATCAAAAATAAATTAGACAAAGATCTTCTGTTATAAAAAAAAGAAATTAAAACTAAATCCTCTTAAGAACTAATTAAATTGTCCAACCAAAACAGAAATTAAATTAGAACCATCTTCAAAATTTGAACCTTCTGGTTAAACAAGTAAAAATTTAAAAAAATGAGGAAATCTCATAAAAATTAAAGGAATATTTTACTAAGCGAATATACAAAATTACCATCCTTACCAGACTTATCTAACAAAAATAAACAATTTTACAATAAGTGGTATATACCTTATGATTTAAAGTATATTTAAAACCTGATTAACTAATATAGGATTTTGAAGGTATTAATATATTACTAAAAAAGATGATATTCATTTTTATATGAATATTTGAAATTAATACTTTTTATCATTTCTATAATATAATATAAATTAATATCTTGATTCTATATAATATAATTTTTATGATGAATAATTGCAAGAAGCTTTAAATAAAAGCATAGTATATATAGAGAGTTAAAGACTTGTTAAAATGTCAGAGATAAATTATGGAATTAAAAAAGTAAAAATCTATTAATATAAATAATTTTAGAAGTTTAGAGAGAGAAAATTAGAGAGTGCCTAATTTATTAAATAATTATTGGATAATGAATAAAACAAAAAAAAATATAAATATTTTAAATAGTTTATTTAAAGAAATAAATAATAATATCATAGTTATTATATATCATAAAATTCATTTTGTTAATTATTTATGTTAATAAATATATATCAATAATTAATGGAATCCAATCTTTTAATATTAATTATAGATATATAATTTACTTTATTTAAAATTATATATTTTAAAATCAAAAACTAATCACAAAATTAATTTTCCAATGATTATGCTAAATTAATTATAAATATACGTTTTTGATTGTTAGTTTGAATATCTAAGTTAAAATTTATAGTATTAACAAGATCAATCTATTTTTTTTTGATAACTTATTAATTAATCAATTCTATAGCATTTTTACTCAAATTTTATTCAAACCATTGAATATATTAAATAGATATATGATAATCAAATTCAAAATACAATTTTTTTAAAGAAATGATTTTAATGATTTACATGATTTAAAAAAAATGAAATTAGAAAACTTTAAAATCTTTCATTATCTCAAAATATAAAAATCAATTTTTGTATTAATCAAAATATCTAATCTAAAAAATTATAGTAAAAAAATAAAAGATAAATAATATATTAATATATCAATAAAGATGAATAAATTACTAATTAATTTCAACTCTAATTGAGGTTTTTGTTAAGACCCCTTTAATGTAACTTGGCATCAATAGTTTGAGAAATCATGATTATTTATTGATCTATCATTTCATCAATTTAATCCTAAATGATTTATTATATATTTGATACCACATCATCTTATTCAATAATTGATAAAGATCTATTAATAGGAAACCAGGAAATACTTTCCTTCTTTAATTCCTCATCCACATAACTTTCAATACCATTATATTCAGATTTCTTTTTCCCTTGAATATAGGAAATAAAGAATATATAATTCCAAACATAATGTTCATTCTTCACATGAAATCTGAATCCCTTTTTATGTTTGGTTTTCTTTTCTATTATTCCTTTGTCTATACCGCAAACAAGACAAAATTCCTTTATGTCAGTCTCAAGTTCTTCTGCTTCTTCTCTATCAGCCCCAAATGAATCTAAGATCAATCCAGTGAAGATGGAATAGGTTAAACTGATTACAAAGAAATAATAACAGAATTCCCAAAAGTTTAGTATGCCAAAGCGGAAATCAGGATTTGCATAAGTGGAACTAATACCATTAGACGCTGCAACATACCCTGCAGACCCACTATCCTTTTTAAATGTTGCATCCAGAATGAACGAAAAGCATTGTAACAAGCTTTAACAATATGGAGTATAGTTTGTGTCTTCAGAGTAGAAATCATAAATTAGTAAAGAATAATAATACTAAAGTATGAAAAAAAGAGCCAATGTAAGTAAAATTTATATTATCGGGCGCCAAACGGACTATAAATTTAAAATTAAAATTCCTTACGTTTATCATTGCTGTTAGCACTGGAAATCTCCAAAATACATCAAGTAAAAGTAATGCTAATAATGTTTTTGTAAATAATCCTGAAATAGCTATAGAAGTAAATATTAAAAAATAGATCATTTCATAATCAAAAAATATATATTTAAATAAAACTAACCTATCAGTAACATTTTAATAAAATCTTACAAATTTATTTTATTCTAATAAAAATTTATCTGTTTTTTCTAAAATAAAGTCTTCCTATAATACAACACTTTATGAATTATCTAAATATTTATATTTTATTTCTCTTTTTCTTATTCTATTTATTTATCTTTCTATTACAATCTCTTGAGCTTTTATTCTTAAATAAGGTAATTTTCTTATAATAAAAATGAAAAAGCAAACAAATTATAAAATTATTTATAAAATATTTAAGGCCAACAAAAAATCATCAAGTACATGATCATATTTTCCATTATTTGTTAATAATATCATTATATTCTACATAACAATCACATAAAATATAATTTATTTCCAAATCTCTTAATTACCTGCTATCATATTAACTAAAAAGTGTCTTTTATATAATAATTGATATTAGTATTCAGTTTTTAATTTTTGTATTGTTTTATTAGAATTATAAAGTATTGATTCAACTTTAGTTTATTAAGTTGTTCTATCAATGTCTTTACTAAACTTCTGTTTAATTGAATTATTTAAAGAAAAACAATGAGGTAAAAGTGGAAATATAACTTATTTAATCTGTTTTGAAGGCAATATGATTTCTATTGATCCAGATCTGGTTGCATAGAATCTTAATGCTCTATAGCCAAGTTTCTTCTAATCAAAATCTTTTTCTGCTTCATTATCTTTTTCATAATTATTTTCTTAATCGTTTTATTTTATTAAATTTTTATCTTATTGAATTATCTTAGAATTATAAATTTTGAAGAATATTTTATCATTAATTGCTTCTTTTTATTTCCCTTTTAAAACATTACTATTAATATAATATAAATATAATTACTTAGTAATCATTTCAGTTACTTTTTACAATTAAAACCAGGACTGATATAATTTATAAAGTAACAATTATTTTAGTTATTTCTTTTATGTTTTCTCTTAATCAATTTATTCATAAATTCTTTCTAAAACATCCATATTTTTATGTTAAAAGATTTATGCTAAAACATTATATAGAGAAAATCCAGTTTCAATAATAAAGGAATCACAAAAATCTCTTATAGCCACATCTACATTTATATTCTCTTCAATATTCCAAAATTTTTCTTCATTTGAAATAATTTCTTAATTAAGAATTGATAATTTTTGTTGATCTCCAAATAAATGAGAAAATATTTTATTTGTGTAATTTTTACCAGAAGAATGGAGAATTTTAAACTTTTCATATTAAATTGCAATATTCTTAATAACTAATTTCTCAGTAATTATGCTATTTATTTTTTCTAATGTTTCAGAAGAAGTTTATTAGTCATCTGTTAAAGATTCTAATGTAGTTGAACATCTGTACTTAATTTCAGACAGCATAAACAATCTGTAATTAATATTATTACTTTTTCTAAATGATTATAAAATCCTTTTGCAATATGTTGGATATTTTTTATAATATTCTACATATTCCTATTATATTTATGTCTTTTTTTAACTAACTATTAATTTATTAAATTCACTTTAAGTTTTTTCTCTAGATCGAGTTTATAATTGTTTATGATCTTTAGTTAAAATTTTATAAATAGCTGTAAATTTTGCATGAGAATCATCAAAATTGAGAAGTTTAAAGCATAATTTTAAGAATTATATTGAACATATTTTCATTTAATTTTCATGACATGGTCCTTAAATTAATTCCTTTATACAATCAAAACATCCAACTATTAATATATAATCATCAAAACTAAGATTAATGAATGTTTCTTAATTAAAATGATTGAATAATATATCTTACAATTATTATAACATATCATAATTTTATGAGAATCCTTCTTAAATCCTTAAAAAATCTTAAGCTGGTCTAAAGTGATCTTCAGCTATTAATTATAAAAATCTAATTTATATATTAATAATCCCTAATTTTTATGAATTATTTTTTCTTTCAAGTCTATGAGTTTAATTAAATTCATAAGATAATAAAATACGATTAAGATTTTGTATAATTTCATTTCTCATTTTTTGAGTATCATTTAATTTTTACAAACAATTAAAATTCAAACAAAATATTTTCAATAATGAATTACTTTAAGTGTTTTTCATTACAGTAATAATTTTATCTTATGCCATCTTATTTGCTTATTCCTATCCTCTAATCAATTTTGTTGATACTAATAAAAATTTATAATATAATTAATCTTTTAAATCTTAATTTATAAATCCAAGTTCTGTAAAAGGAATAACTCTTAAATTTTAATAAGAATCACAAAATTATATTAAAATCTCAAAAAATCCTTCATTACATATTAAATTTTGTATTTATTTGATAGCCTTGTTTTATAAAATTTATTCACTCTAACTTTTATAAATATCCTTCTAATTCATTACATAAACTTAAACTGTTTACTCATAATCTGTTCTAATGTAAGTATGAATATCTAAAAGTTACCAAAAGAATTCAAGAATATTTAATACTCCTTAATAATTACTAATTAGATTATTTAAACTTTATTTTAAGATTCTAACTAATGGCAAGATAATCTTTTGAAAATTTTCAATTTAAATTTCATAATTTTAATTCATCAATTATAATCTTTAATAAATTTACTTA